CACTAACTGTAGCTGACGATGGTTTGATCGCAAAGTTTTTCGCAATATTCTTCTGGATGGAATCTTTCATGCGTTTCAATTTCGTCAAAAATTTTGTCGGAAATGGCAGCGTGTTTTCTTTTTATGTGTCTCGTCAAATCTTCAGTGCGCTTTCCCTTCAGTTTAAATTTACAATATTTACACTGACTTGAGTTAGACTTCTTGTCATAAACAAAGCTTTCATGTACCGAATTAAACTCATTTCACAAACATTTAATCACTTTTAATAATATCCCAAACTTCTGACGATTGTGAAATTACAATGAATGACAACTCATGGCGTTGCTATCAAGCATATTTGTAGCATTTTACAAATGTGTAGCAGGGTTGCATTTTTAAGCAACCAAACCGAAACATTTGTTTTTATAAGTTTTCGGTTCGGTTTTTGCACTTTAAAATAAAAACGGTTCGGTTCAAAACCGGTTTGCAGCGCAGATTTTATTAGATCATATATCACATATGGGTTTCTTTCCAAATATATTTTTGTACCCAATTAGTTTACAATTGCTGTTATCACATTCTACATAGGTATGCATCTCGTTAAGATGTGTGTTTGTAATTCTATATGCATTTTTAATCTTGATTCAAAGATATTCGAGCAGTTTCCATGACGACGGTATTATGAATCTAATATTGAATATCAAATGGTTTACAGCCTACATACGTCACAACTTTCAATTTAAGTCAATTTTGATAGTTAGTTTGTGTGATCAACATAAAAACAAGTTCTTGATCGTGTAACTGTAGCGTAGGTAATGATTTTTTGGAGAAGGTAGATAAATTAAAATGATAATGAATCAATGATCTGTAGCTTTGAAATAAAATGAGCTGGTGAAGCCAGAGGATGAGGTTCGTTTTAATATAGACAGAAAAATGATCGCATTAAATACAAAATTCTTACATTAGGTTCGCCATTATATATTCATAAAATGCTTGTCTCTGATACGAAATGTTGCAAAAGTATGTATGTATGTACATGATTCCTCGAAACCATGAATTGCAAGTCAACTATCGATTAAAATATATGTTAAGTACCCTGTAGGGCAACCTGAGATTTCTGTTAAAGCTTCTTTGAATTTCTAAGGGCCGGATTGACAAAACTACCATAAACTCATGTATTGTTGTGATAGCTATATTCGTCTTTACGCAAATGGCCAATGCGTTGCAACATTTTCAAGTGTTTAATGTCATGGTAATATCATAGTATTGGAGTTTGGGTAGTCGCAATTTACTGGGTTATTCAGTTTTCAGTGTTTCTTGAGCAATCCTTCATTTTACATTACAATTGAATTTATTCATTGTGAAAAACTTTATATGTGCGTGGTTCATTAGCTTCCTTCTAATGGCCAATTCACATGAACGAACAGATAAGTTCGATGCGCGCTTTTGCATGAGTACGTTTACATAAAAAGTTTTCGACGCGAATCTTAGCGAAATGTTGGGCAACATTTCACGCCAAGCAACAGTCGCCCTTTTTATTAGAGGGCAACACTGAAAGCTAAGTGTTCTCTGTGGCATAGATATCTTTTCTTTGCTGTCACGTAAGGCCTTTGAGGTTTTGGCAACCCTTAAAAAAATTTGGCATTTCGGTAAACAGCTGTTTTACAATCGATTACTTGGGAACTTGTTTAATATAGGTTTAACACTGTATCGCCGCATAAAAATTTATATAAAAATGATATATATAACATAAACATGTTTAAACGAGTATTTACTATATCATATAAGTTGTGTACTTTTCGTCTTAGACGTGGGTAAGTAGTGAGTCAATAGGAAACCGTTTCGCCGCTACAAGATTTTCGTTTTCTTTAGTGAAGGTTTTCAATTTCAAACGTCACATGGACGACAATGTAGCAACTTTAGTGATGTCGGTGACAAGATTGAAGATTTCTACAATATTCCAGTTGAACGTATCAGGAATTTCAGTATAATCGCGCATGTCGATCATGGGAAAAGTACTTTAGCAGATCGGCTATTGGAATTAACCGGTGCGATAGCCCTGAATTCAGGAGCACAAGTTTTAGACAGTTTACAAGTTGAACGGGAGCGAGGAATCACTGTTAAAGCACAGACCGCTTCAATTTTCCACACATATAAGAATGAAAAATATTTATTAAATTTGATCGATACGCCAGGCCATGTGGATTTCGCAAATGAGGTTAAACATTCAACTTTTTAGATTAAAGGACCATTCTTATATTCACTTTTGGGGATCATTTATTAGGTTTCGAGATCTCTGGCTGCATGCGATGGTGTTATATTACTGGTTGATGCTTGCCATGGAGTACAAGCTCAGACTGTAGCCAACTATTATTTAGCGAAAATCCGTAACTTGGTTATAATTCCAGTGCTAAACAAAATAGACATTAAACATGCTAATCCGGAACGTGTGTGCAAAGACTTGTATAATTTATTTGGAATCGATTCTAACAACGTACTAAAGGTAAGATATAAGGGTATTAGCAAAATATATTGAAACTTAATTGTTAATGTTCAAGATTTCCGCAAAATTAGGAACCGGTATTCCTGCAGTTCTCGACAGAGTCATTGAACAAATTACACCACCACAAGTAGATCGCAATCCTCCATTTCGCGCTTTAATATTTGATAGCAGGTTCGACAAATATCGTGGTGCTTTAAATTTAATTTATGTACTGAACGGGTCACTAAAAGTGGGGCATGAAATCCAATCGATGATTACAAAAAAGTCATACCCGGTTAAAGGCATAACCATATTGCGTCCGAAGGAGGATCCAATCGAAACAATGTGAGTACGCTTGTACGAATATGGTTATAAAATTTCCATACTTGACTATTTGAAAAAGTACTTCAAATGTAATGATACGCTACTGATATGATTTTTTTTTAATGGAATTAATATTTTAATATTAACACGCAGCTCCGCTGGACAAGTAGGCTTAATTGCCTGTAATATGAGGAACAGCAAAGAGTCTGTTATTGGAGACACAATTCATCTAAAAAATGAAAGTGTTAAAGCTGCAATTAGGTTTAAGCCGCAGCAAGCAATGGTATTTGCAGGCGTTTATCCCGCCGACCAATCCAAGCATGTGGCTTTACGCGGCGCCATTGAAAAACTGGTTTTAAATGATTCGGCGGTCACAGTAAAGGTCGATTCCAGTCCAGCCTTGGGTCAAGGATGGCGCTTAGGTTTTCTCGGCTTACTTCACATGGAGGTATTTTGTCAACGGTTAGAACAAGAATATGGAACGGAACCAATTATTACTGCACCATCCGTTACATACCGAATCATTTTAAAGAACCCGAGAATGATAAAGCAAATGGGAAAAGAGTGTTTGGAACTTTCAAATGCTGGACTATTTCCAGAACCTTTCAATGTTAAGGAATACTACGAACCACTGGTGAAAGGTATTTATGTATTTTCTATTTTTCCCTAAGCGTTGTATGTAATTCGATTACAACTCTTTACTATACTTATATTATTATTATACAATATATTATATTATTATTATTATATTTTGTCCATCTCTTATTATTACTGTATTAAATATTTCAAAGTGATAATTGACTGCGACCAATTTACTTCAAGTTTTTAATTATATTTTCAGGAACCATAATAACCCCCACTGAATATCTTGGTCAAATAATTAGTTTATGTGTGGATCGACGGGGGATACAAGAATCATCAGTCAACATAGATGACGATCGCATTTTAATGAAATACATATTGCCGTTAAGTGAAATCATATTAGATTTTAATGATCATCTGAAGTCCATAAGCTCTGGCTATGCTAGTTTCAATTACGAAGATCACGGATATCATCTAACCAATATTGTTCGATTGGATATTCACCTGAATGGTCGCCCTGTTGAAGAGTTTTGTCGCATTGTGCATGTTTCCAAAGCAACAACTATCGCCCGAGAAATGGTAGCAAAATTGCAGGAGCTTATACCAAGGCAGATGGTGCAAATCGCCATACAAGCCTGTGTGGGAGGAAAAGTGCTGGCGCGAGAGACTATAAAAGCTTACAGGAAAGACGTTACTGCCAAGCTAGTGCGTACATATAACTAAAATATATTATAGTAACTAATCTTATTAAATTATTCTTATTTTCACAGTATGGAGGCGATGTTACCCGACGCATGAAGCTTTTAAAACAACAAGCGGAGGGTAAAAAGAAAATGAGAATGTTTGCCAATATCCGTGTACCACATGAGACTTTTATAAAGGTGTTGAAGCGGTAGTGAATGAAAATCCAAATAATCTGCATAGAAATTATATAATGGATACTATTTTCTGGTGGGTAGTAATTTGAAGAGTTTTACCAATATTTTATTTATTTTAAAGTTTTACATGGCTTTCACGGCTTCAAACAAAACATTTTTTTATTATCTTATTAAATTCTATAACATCTCTAGAATATTGTCCTAAATTCTCAAGTCACTTAAACGCGTTTTTCTCGTAATTTGAAGAGTTTTACCAATATTTTATTCATTTTAAGGGGTTACATGGCTTTCACGGCTTCAAACAAAACATTTTTTTTTATTATCTTATTAAATTCTATTGCATCTCTAGAATATTGTCCTAAATTCTCAAGTCACTCAAACGCGTTTTTCTCGAAATTGTGTTCTCAAAGTCGATTGTCAAAATTTCTGGCGAACTACTCGACCGGTCAATTTTACACAGGTCTTCGAGATATAACTTACAAGGTCTTGACAAAGGTTTACTTTTGTTCAATTATAACTACTTAAAAAAAAACATCGAGACATTTTCACTTCTGTTTGTTTTCCATGCGTCCTAGTTTATGATCTTAATTAAAGCACGTATTTTTTTCTTTTTTACTTTTGATGATCTAGTAAGAAGTTCTGCTGTCAACGCAGAGGCACCTTTTTTCCGAGGGATTTACGAAAATAACGTCGTAATGGCCAAGTTTTGAATATTTTTCTTTAAAAATTTCATAAAATGTTTGTAAAATATGTATCTTAGAAATTATAAAAAGTTTGAATAAAATATTATATTTTTTACATAAAAAAAATATTGAAAATATGCCGTTTTTGCTCATGTAGCCCCTAAGGTATTATCGTAATGATGTCGTTTTTGTTTATTTAGTTCTGTCAAGGTCGTTGTGTTTAACTACATCTTCTATATAATTAATACAATTAACCTTGCTAAATTAGGTAGATTACATGACACATGAGTGTTAAGTGTAGCGATTGTTAAAGCCCTAATCAGGAATTTAAATGTGTTGATCGAGGTCATTTAAAGGTGGATTGAAAAGATATGTAGGTGTTTAGAAGGGAAAAAGCAGGAGTAAGATTTAACTAAAGCAGTGATAGCCTGGGCTATACATTTGTTCTCTGTCTCTGTCTTAATTTATGAGCATATGAAAATGTGTTTTCGTGTTTTTTTTGTTTTGATTAAAAAATAATTATTTTGAAGTTGAAATACATTTCATAGCGTTATTATAGAAATATTGAAATTGAATTACATTTTAATTGACAATAATATTTAGTGAAGTATCTATTGTATATATTAAAACATCGCCTTAATAACCTAATGGTAAAGTTAATGTTCAAAGCATTTTTATTTCATGTCGTACAAATATACACTAGCTGTTATCACTAGTACGAAAAAGAAACATCAGGCAGCTTCTTCAATAAAATATATTACCATGTACATACACATATATATATTCTATATATAGTCAAACATTTATGAAAACGTTCTTTAACAGTGCGATAAGCCATCTTTTTATCAATTTTCATGTATTGTCACAGCTGTTGCAGGCATTCTCTTTCTATTTGTGTGTTTTTGTCATTGTTAAAATTGGGTTTAAATTTAAACCAGAATTTTACAGAAATAAATAAAATATGTATAATGTAACTACAAAACAATACAATCTATCTCACACACACTTTCATGCAGAAATGATTTCACACATAGCCAAAATCAAATTTCCACTCACACTAGAACCCAATAACTTTGGTATTGGAGAGCAGAAGAGACTTTCGTGCCTCAGTTTCGGACGTGGCGCTCTTTGTTCAATGACAAATACTAACTGACCGTTTGTTTACAATTTTGGTGAATGCACCAATACTCTGTTGTTGTGCAAAACAGCTGGTGGAGCTTTTTATTTGTTGACGTCTCATGAGGGCACCAACACCACGATAAATGTATAGAGAGATTCATTAAAAATATAACAAAGCAAAAGTATTACCTCCATTATTATTGTACTTTTAATTAATAACAATAATCTTATAAGTTAACATAAGTCTAAAAGAATTTCACTATTTTATTTTAATTTATAACTTTTGCGCTAATCTAAGTATCAAAATATATATTTCAACAAAAGAAATCGGAGGGCAGAAAATCTTTGCACACACCAATATCAACACATAAATCCCTGACTTATACATTTGCATGAACCAACACACGCAAAAAATGTGTGCAAGCTTGAGTAGAATGAACAACCAAACAGAGGATAGATAATAAAGCGATGAAAGCAAGAAACAAGCTTTTAAATTGTGCCCACCAACAGCACCCTATAAACGGCGATGACTTTAATTGAGACACATAATATTTAGATTTTTAAGATGAGGGTGTATCACGCCAAATTAAAGCAGCTCTTCTTTTGTAAGCGAGTGACACGAACACAGTGTCAAGTGTCCAACAAGTAAATACATAATTTGTTTAGAATTTTTTAACTAGTATATTCACTTCGATTTTAGAATATAATATTAAAAAGTTTTTCCATCCAGTAAATGGATACCAATTTTAATTTATAAATACCCAAGAGATTTAACAAGTTTTAAATCGTTCACATTTTGATAGCGCTCTTTCGAATCAAAGAGTTTTGTAGCTATTAAATTACAATTGCGGCTAGTTTTGCCAGGTTCAGGTAAGTTGTTATGGAAGAAACGTTTTCAAATGTTTCAGTTATTGCAACAACAAAACAAACAATAGTTTAGATATCGCTTAATATTGAACGCCTACAGGCGATTAGCACATGTGTGTGATTACTCAGTTAAACGGCCATGTAGTGCACTTCTGAATTCGGTGTGCCTAATATGCTTTTATCTTTTTCTCCTTCGGTTCAGTCGTTTTGTTTACTTGGTTCGTTTCTGTTCTCTTCGCTGTGATGTGAAACGTACATGACGAGTAAGCATTTTTGATCCGTTGATATCGCAACTAGTCGGTCCCATACGTACGCCTGCAGTGTAGCTTTGTTTGGGACAGTTTGGATCAAATCAAGTTTTGTTGATGTGGGTACCTATAAATAAACAATTTACATTTTTTAAATTATCAACTCGGTTTGCAGTAAACAAATAATTTTAAAATAATAAACTTTTCGTAAAACCCCAGCGGGTGTCATTATTTGAAAGCACAATGAAAAATCGAAAGTTATAGTGTTTAGCAAGTCTAAATGCACAGCTGATCTGTTTTCAGTAGCATCAAAACCGTTTAATCACATAAAAATTAAATTAACTCAGGAAGTTTACTCCTTAATTTAGTTAATTCCGGAAGGGTTCATTCAGGTTTGTAGAAAGCAAAGTGCAGTTACTCTTGTGTTGAATATCGAAGTAAATGTTTAATCTTCATTAAAAGCTAACGCACACTTATATAATACAAGTATACACACATATTTATATACAAATATATGTGTGTTTGTAAAGACCTTTCACACATGTGTGCATGTATGTACATATGTATGTATTTACATATTATATATTGCAAAATTGTACACAATCTCAATTGCTACAAATCTTTTTATATATTGTACATTATTAAATTAACCAAATCGTAAACCGCAATCGCTTGTAAAATGAGCTTTTGTTAAGGGGGTCAGTTTGGTCGAACTATTTACCAACAAAAATTAAATATTTTTACTGATATGTTCGAAAATGCGAATTTGAACAATATTTATTTGTTTTTTGTTTTTTTTGAATGAATTGCAAGTGCACACTTACACTGCTGACAATAAGCAGGCAAGCACCAATACAGTGACAAAAATGTGTATGCGTGCACTTGTACAATGACGTTAATAAGAGAATTGTTTGGTGTATAGAGTGTATTCGTTGAATAACAAAACGAGAAATTCACCTACATTTATGCAAACATATCATTAGGCACCTGTGTATGGATGTACATATGTATTTGTATTCATAAGTTTGAGGTTATTATGAAATTAATCGTTATTAATTTACCAGACGAAGTAATTTTCTCAAAAGGTCAGTGTTCCTTTACAAGGATTACTCATGACAAAATTGTATGCAGTGCTCTATAAAGTAAATTTCATAAAACAAAAAATAAGTGTGATATGCATACATATACATATGTATGTTATATCTATACAGTATCTGGTGCTGATATCTGTTATTTCTAGTAATAAGTAAGTCTACGCCTATGATAACTTAAAATGATAGAGACAAGATTGTGACATGCAACGTCATAAAAGAAAGAATAAGAAGAGGCAACGTAGGCAAACTGTCAAGTTTGCATGCAAATTTTAAATAAACGCGCAAAGATTTTTGTAAAATCTGGAAATAAAGTCTAGTTATTAGTTGATAATGAAAAGCTTTCAGTGAAACGAATAGAAGATTGTAGGGGGGAATATTTGAATCATATACAAATAACTGCATTTAACGTATAGTCGAAATAATTGCTTATTAAGTAGGTGATAAAGCGACGTGTTGTGATAACGATGTTTCCAACAAAAGATTATTTTCTTGTTATTAAATATATTCATACATTAATAATAGTTTCTGTGAAATTAAAATTTAAATAATTAATCAAATTTATTTTCATTTTTATGTTAGTATATCATTCTTTCTTTGATTTTTTTCTCAATATTATTCCCTTTTATAACGTCATTTCCCGTCAAACGCGAACCAAAAAAAATAACGGAGGGAAATTTTCTTACCTATTAAATATTGCTAAGGTTATCGCCTATTTGACTGGGTTTCGGATCTATTTTAATGTAATCTTTCTCAAACTTATCAAATCGTATTTCACTGAGGGCATTTCCATCATCATCAAACATTACTCACATACTCAAGACAAAGGGATCCGAAGGTCCTCTTATTATACAAGTATTGCAACTCAAACACGAACATACATTTTTGAATTAAGTTGAATATAATTTTCTAATTATTTGGTCGGTCTCCTCTATCCATTTCTTTCAGAGATTTTCAAAAGTTTCCATTTATGAGGAGTGTCCAGTATTCCGCGTGGTAGCCACGTACTCATCGTATAAGGCTGTAGCTACTGTCATAAGACCCTAGTTAAAGAAATTAAAAGTTTTAAAAAAAGTAAGTTTTCAAAAGAGTAAAGTGAAATAGCACACGAGAAATAAAGGAACTTTCTCACTAGTAGAATGCCTATGGGATACAATGAATAGGGTGGAGCGAAAAAAATTTTTATTTTTATTTTTGCTTAGCCTGAGGGTAAAATTTGTAGATTATGAAAAACGGAAATTTTTGGAAAAACAAATTTTTTTTAACATCTAGAGGCGGCCCACTCACTTTTAAAGTAAATTTCGAGTTAAAATTTAAACTCTTTACATTTTTATAAAAAATTTCGAATTTGACGGTTTTTGACTCACAATTTATTTTAACGCTTAAGGAAAGCATGTTGTCGTTTAAGATTTTTTTTAAAACTTCAATAATGACCACAAATTTTTTTTTAAGCTGATAACTTTTAATTGACCAGAAAGAGGACTCTTCACAGCTTCTAGAACATTAATGAAGTATTTTTTACGAAATTAAAATTTTAACTCTGAATTTACTTTAAAATTGAGTTTTTTTTCCAAAAATTTTCTTTTTTTTATATTCTACAAATTTTACCAAAAAAAAATTTCTTTTCGCTCCACCCTAATAATGAATTTGGAATTTTTTTCCATTGACTTTCATTCAATCGTAAAATGTATTGCGGTTATTTCCAACTATTAAATATGGTTCACCTTCACCGCTTTGTCGTTATATGGCTACATTTTTGAACATAAAGTATATGTAATACTAGCAGGATATAAAGTGCAAATTTCATTGAACTTTATGTAATTTTTTAAAAAATATTTTGTAAATATAATTCTTCTTTGTTTAATACTTTGTTTTCGTCGGGAAGTCTTTGACCAGCGGCCATCTGAACTTCCGCCTTTTATCTCCCTTATCTTTATCTATTTTCATATAATCCCATCTTAAATAATCAGCAACAACATTTGATCAAATGCATTCATGTACATATATACAAATACTTACATATTTAGATATACAAATAAAAATTGATATGTAAAATTGAAATAACTAACTCGTTTTAATGATCGAGTCAACATTTTGTATAACTAAAGCTTTTTTCTTGGCAAGTAAATCGAATTTTCCTGACCGTGAACAGACAACTAACAATAACAAACATTATAATCTGTGTGTGTTTTTTAATGCCATCCCTCCGGCAGAGATCTGCCGAGTACGAAATACATACATATCTGCATGGACGACCTCAAACAAGAAGCCAACAAACCATCCCTATAGTCAACTTGCCGACCCACCAACCTACCAACCGACCGACACAGCAACCAGAAAGCTAGTACAGTTGTATACAATGTAAGATACGACTACTACAAGTACCCATGACCTTGAAATTTTCACCGATACAGTTAAAAAGGAAAACAAAAAAAACATTAAAATGCACTGGCAACTGGCAAGAACCTTGCTCCCCAAAGCAATAGCAATAGAAACAAATCATTAGAAAGCTCCCAAACTAAGAGACACGAATTCTCTTTCGCACCTTTGCAAAGCAATACACTACTCTTTATATCTCTATGGTTACATAGGGTTTCGTCGAACTATCCTCTCTTCGGTCATCAGCAGCAGAATCGCTTCGCGACACTTATTACGGAAACTTTTCACATAATCAAAACAATGTTTGCTGTTACCAAAAGACAATATTTCAGTCCATCTTTTGACATAATACGAAGTGAAGAAACTGGTACAAATGCTACCGGAATCCAATCCTAAAAAATTAAGTGAAGTAAAGGGAGTTTGTTTAAAAAAAATGTATCGAAAACATCAACGAAAAAACGATCGCAAACACTATCAGCTGATTTAAGCATAACATAGCTATACATACATACATATGTACACAAAAAAGAGCTTTCACATAAATTGAACACATCCACTTTGTGTAAAAAAATTATTTAATTATGAATACATATAAATATTTTCAACTGAACCCTTCCTATATGATTTTATATAAAATAAAATAAAAGTAAATATTATGGTCTACAAGCATTGCTGAAAGTACAGCACATCACACTATAAAATGACTTGAAATGCACTTGATAAATAAGTTTGAAGGCAGATTTGATAATAGTCGGTTTTTTCATAATTCATCCATTACACAATAGTTAAATACATATAAAATATACAAGTATGTATTAGGGGAAAACCCGCGAAATCCGGACTGGAATGAGCGAATAGTAACCAACCGAAAAACTACTATGTGAGAATTGAGAAGAGTTGGCCAGAAGTATGGGAAAGTATAATACTTAAGTAAACAAGTAAGGAAGTTCTAAGTTCGGATGTAACCGAATATTTTATACTCTCGCAACTTGCAAGGACCAAAGCCTGGGAAATGACTTCAGCTGTTGGCAAAATTTTATATTAAAGGAAGTATTGATCCGATTCTACCCATTTTTGACACAAAACATACTATTATCAAGAGTTTCATTTATTTATTTTATAATATGAATTTCAATTATATATCTCACACCTTGATTGATATTTTCGGTAAAAAGTCAACTATAGGCACTGGGGTCCACATATTTAGTACCAATTGGCTTGAACAGTTTTGGTTCGACTTAGCCAATTTTTAGTCACAAGGTGACATACTTTCTTTAAACGCATTATTCACGCAAAGTTTTACCCCGATATAATCATTGTTGCTTGATTTTCATAGTGGAAAGTGAAAGCATCAAATAGAATCTAAAATTGTGTTATATGGGAAGTAGGCGTGTTTGTAATTCGATTTCGCTCATTTTCGCACAATAACATAGAAATATAAGAAGAATGTACCGAATTTGATTGAAATCGGCTAAGCATATCGAAAGATATGATGTCTATAAAGACATCTCAAACCATCCCAGGGATAAAATTTAATGTCTCTGGCGGTCTGGTCTTGATTTATCGCGCTTTTAGTAGTTTTTAACAGTACCGTTATATGGGGAGTGGGCGGGGTTGTCACCCGATTTTACCCATTTTCACACTGTCGATAGGGGGGCTAAAAACATTTGTTCCCAGTGAATTTTCTTAGTATAGCTTTCGCGGTGTAGGGGTATGCACATTAAACATATTAGGGGGCGCCCACTTTTAAAAAATAACAGTCTAGTATGTTATTGTGGAGCTTAGTTATGGCAATTTATTTGTTTTTGATTAATGGCGCTTTGTGGGCGTGGTAGTGGTCCGATTACGCCCAAGTTTCATAAAGATATCTCAATTTTTACTCAAGTTACAGCTTGCATGGACGGACGGACAGACAGTCACCCGGATTTCAACTCGTCTCTTCATCCTGATCATTTATACATACATAATCCTATATCGAACTCGATTAGTTTTAGGTGATACATACCATTACATGAACATAACTATTATACTCTGTAGCAACAGTTTGCGCAGCTTCTTCACCTGTCTTGTTCCTCTCCAACTCAGTCTAAACGTTCTTTAAAATAGAATTCATCCTTACTGTCTATCGAATGATAATAACAAGCCGTTAAACCAGCGTTGAAAACGCAAGATAAGAAATGCATAATTTTCTCTCACAAAATTGACTACACTGCGATTATTCAATGTTAACAAAAGGTAAAGAATTATGAATAAACCGTGACTTCAAATGATCTCAACAGATTTAAATTTTCCAAAAAAACACAGACATCTCCGATGTGTTGGCATAATTGCTTAAAGTGTGAGCAGTTTGGGGCGAAACAAAAGAGTTGCAGTTAGCCCTTGACCTTAGCTCTTGAATTGACACAGTAACAACAATCGATCACAGATTTTGAAGCAAACAAATGTTTATGGCTCATTGTGGGCGACATTTTGTCAGCTCAGCTCCGTTCAAATATTTTATTGATAAAGCCAATGTATTTTTTACGCCAGCGTTTATTCTTTCCTATTTGTCACATTCAGACGCACTTACTTACATGTTTGTTGTGCACAACACTTATATATGCATATGTATGTGTGTATGAGGATTTGAGCTCAAGTATGATACGTTTAAGAGTACATTTCTGGAAAGCTTTTCCATTTGCTAATGTATTCTAACAACACAAATATGCACGTAATAAGTAATAATCCCAACAACAATGTTGTAGCAATCAAGTTCAAGCATAAAGTACAGCAACAACACCTTTGAATAGCCACAATATTTATATTTAACAATATCCATGTGTGCGTTTAGAGGGAGACTCGACTGATGTACCCCACTCATACAGAGGTGTCGATGTGTGTGTATGTGAGACAGTGTGTGTGTGGAGAGCCACTGAAATCGTTTCGCGCTGGCTGATTGGGGCTAGTTGCGTACAGCGTCAGACCGTACACGTAGCGCATTGGAGAGGCGACAGCAGCAGCAGCAACAACGGCCCAGCCCGCCACTGACACCACCATCGTTCACTACAAACTCAAAGTAAGAAGTCAACTTAATTACTGAGTAAAAACTGAAAGTGAAAATTCTCGAAATCGCAGCATCGAAAATGTGCAATGTTTCGAAATAAATTAAATGAATTACAATTGAAAGCATTCCAACACTTATGAAAATCGAAAGCGGTGAGATTGTGCTCAGCAAAAATTGGCGATAATTTTCCACACAGCTTTTGTGGCCGAAGTGCGTCTTTTTTATTTGCGTTTGCTTGTTGTCAATGGTGTATGGACTGTGTGTAAATATTTAAATTTTATTTTGACTATCGAAATTCAGAATTCGACCTCGACAGTGTTAGTGAAACGTATTGTTACGTAGATTTTCGTTTAATTCCATGCATTTCTATAATGTTTCATATCATACGTACACATGCATTTGCGTGTATATTGCTGTGACAAATAATTTCATAAAAAAATGTTTGATCAAAAATTGATGTGAAGGAGTAATTTTCATTCTGCATATTTGGTTTTGTTTTTGAACAATTGATACGGAATTATAATAAAATTTCATAAAAATTCGCAACACAAAAAGCTACAAATTGTTCACCTGTGTCGCCACCATCTCTTTACTTTGCAAGTATAGGTATGTTATTAAAATTAAAGCTTGCGAATTGTGTGTGAGGAGTGGATAAGAGTGTATAGGTGTACGTCCATATACCATATATATGTATATGCATGTATGTATATGATCCAAATATATATATATAAAATCAAATGTGAATATGTAGGAATAAATTAAAAGCTGGCAATGTTTGTAAACAAGATCTTTGCAATTATTCTCTTATATCTTCCCGTGGCGTTGCCATCAATGCGCTCAATTTCGTCTATTGACGTGACACTACCGCTTTGAAAATGCAACACATTGAAAGCGCTCATGAGAGTTTTATTATTTTCATAAAATAATAATTATTTATTTAACAAATTTTGTTAAACTCAACTATTCGATATTGAATATTACATTTAATACTTGTAGGTTATGTAGCTGCTCTTCGGAATATTCCATAACCCAAGTATTGATTCATACTTATGAGCCTAGACAATGTTTTAGGAATTTGGACTGGTAAAGAGTGGTAACAGCTTATATGTTAGCATATGAGGGGGCGTTGAGAAACACAACGATAAATACCCGCGAAGAAAATTTTATTCGAATTTAATTATGTTTCGATGTTTTTTCGAGGAATTTTAGAGCACTAAAAGTGGGATGAAATGAATGATTGTTTTAAACCCTTTTTACATACATACATAGATATCTACTTCATTTTCTAGGCAATGTATTTTCAAAAATATTTATGATAATATACTATATTTATTTATATTGTCCATATAGACAAGTTAGGCAATTTCATAGGATGCAAGAAATTTTAAGCGGCATTTTTCGCAAATTTTCTTTATTTTATTTTATTTAAGGCTTACCAACATTATCAATTGAAAATAAAGTGGCACAAACTCTTAACAATAAAATAGTTGTGTCTTATATTTCCAAATTAAAGGCACGAAATTATTTAAATAATTAAATTTTTTATAATACTACTAATTATAATATTTTTAAATAATTATGTTACACCTTTGGAATATGAATGTTTTTTTATTTTTTTTTTATAAATTGACCTGAATAATTTTCAAAAATTATAAAATTTGTTGTTAAGGCAAAATAGGCTTAGAAGAGGCGGAGAATTTGTCATTTGCCTAGGGCGATAAATTGTTTTGGGCCGCCCTTATATTGTACAATATATTTTTTTCTATTTAATAAACTTACTAGTGCACTGTAGTAAAATAGAAAAAATATTAGTATATATGTATGTATGTATATACTTATGTTTATGCATTAGATTTGGGCGTAGAGCTAACAGTTTAGTTCCAATGTTAGTCATACCGAATTCATTTTTATATTCCGATCCCAGTCATACCGACATTTTTCAAAAATTTCTCCATATCTATCGCTCAATAAACTAATGAAATATTTTGCTTTATTGACCATGGGAGTATTTTATCGTATATATATAAATACTTCAATTTATGTATATTGTTGCAACCCTTCTTAACACACAAATATATGTGATTTTTGTATAATGAAAACAAACATCAACCTGATGAACTCGCTCATGATACTAATACTCTTGTAAAAAAAAATTTCAATTTAAAAAACAAAATATTTAATTACTAATTTTTAAGTTTTTAAATTAAAACCCCGAGTTGTATAAAATTTTTATTAATACTTTATATTTCGTCTATTTAATATATGCATATATATTTAATTGTTTTTTATTAAAAAAGTGACCAATTATATATAATACGGTAAAAATGCCTATATACTTAACGTGACCATACGTCCGGATTTGGGCGGGACAGTCCCAATTTGAAGCTGTCTGTCCCACTGTCCTCTAAGAGACTGTAAATGTCCCGCTTTCGCCAAAACTACAAACTAAATCTTCCAGTTTTTTTTAGAAACGTCTCATAACGACAACTCTGTAACCACAGCTGATCATGTCAGCTTTGCCAATATTACAATTTGTCAACTTTGCCAAAAAACAATTAATTAAAATTAATTCGTGAGCATTATATTGAAAAAAAATGCCTAAACGCAAGTGTACTATTAAAATAACTTTGCAAAATAAGTGCCCTTTTATAAAACAAAGAAGTGGGTCAGCCGTTGTTACGTGCGAAAAGTGTTGTGGTGATTTTAATATTGGACTTGGCGGCGGTTGCGATTTTAAGAAACATTTACGCTCTGAAAGACACAGGCGTTCTGAGCAAGCTGCCGCTTTAAGTTCGTCAGTGCAACATTTTTTAAAAGAAACGATTTGCCGTTTTCGAAAGATTTAGATATACTTAGCTGCTGCAGAGAGTGCCTGGGCATACCACACGGTGCAAGAAAACCATAGTGTTCGTTCGAATGATTGTGCCACAAACCTAATTCAGACTTGCTTCGAGCAAAAATTTAGATATGCCCGTACGAAATCACAGACCATAATTGTAAATGTGTTGGCGCCTATGGCAATGGAGGAGCTAAAAGAGCAGCTGCGCGATGCCCACTTCATATCTTTATCAACAGATGCTTCCAACTATGGATCAATAAAATTATTTCCCGTTGTAGTAAGGTACTTTTTTGCACAGAGGTAAAAATTTTAGAATTTCGAGAACTGCCAAGAGAAACATCTGATTTAATTATCAACTATTTGATGGAAGTATTATGTGCTAATGATTTGGTCAAGAAAATTGTTGCATTTTGTGGGGACAATACGAATTGCAATTTTGGAGGAAAGAATAGAAAAGGGGCTAATAATGTCTTCGCAAAACTGAACCAAAGGGTGGGAAGGCAGCTCATTGGAATCGGATGTGCAGCTCATGTAGTTCACAACGCTATAAAAACAGCCGCAGATTGTCTTCCTGTTGATTTTGACTGCATCATTGTAAAAATCTATTCATTCTTCTTTATCTACAGTAGAGCCTATATCTACAGTAGAAGCCCTGAAAGAGATTTGTGATTCCAGTGATACAGAATATAAGAAGCTGCTGGGTTACAGTAAAACAAGATAGCAGGCATTAATGCATTTTAAAGATGTTCTGAGTTGTGGTTATATTTTTTACACGCACAGGCAGCTTCTTTCAATGACGTTATTTTAAAAATCGAGGGGCAAAAGGTGTCAGCGACAGAGTCTGCAAATGAAATTAGCCGTCTACGAGAAAACTTAGCACTTAAAGCAGACTTAATTTTTCTTTCTCTGACAGTTCATAATCTGCTAGCAAATTAAACGAAAACGGCGTTGCTGTAGATGTGAAAGATATAAAAAGCGTTGCTGTCGAATTTTATAAGACAAGTAAATAACATTTAGAACAATGGTGTCAGTACAACAAACAGTTAGTGGTGTTTAAGTGGTCAAATTTGACAAAAGTGCCTTCTTGGTCAGAAGTACAAAACGTTAAAGACTTGCTTATTGTCCAAGGTTTTATTAACATCAACCAAGATACGGCAGTGTTCACGAATTTTCGCTTATTACCAGCTATGTTACAGATGAAAAGATCAGAAGCTGGAACGATGGCAATGTTGCTACTGAAGACCGTTGGATGGAATTGTTCAAACACTTTCTTGCTAACAATATCAACTGCACAAATTTTCGCATAAATATTGAGTATGTTCTTTGTATGCCTGGAAGTAATGCACCTGTCGAAAGAGAATTGTCCCTAATGAATAAAATATGGAATAGCGAAAAAACTCAGACAAGTTTCAAAACTTTGAAAGCCATTTTGATTACTAAGACTAATATCGAAAAATCATGCAATTAGCTAAATTCCTACTTGAAAACTAAACCTGATATTTTCAAACTGATTTGCTCCACTGACAAATATAAAACAACTACATAGACTTGAGATAAATTCAAAAATGGAATAATAACGTAGTACAATAAATGTAGACCTCTTGTTTGCTAAGCATTAATACTACTACATAATTACTATGTACAAATATGTTGTACTGTTATCATATTGCTCTTGTACAAAGTAAGTCAATTTTTTATTCTATTTCTATCGTCTTAATTTTTTTAATAATAAGTTAAAAAATACCAAGCATTTTTTATTCACACAGCGTCCCGACTTGAGGAAAAAAATAAATAGTCACATTATATATACTGCATATTAGGTACATATATAAAAAAATTAATTTTTTTTATAATTTATTAATAAGTAAATGTTTTGTATTACAATATGTACATTGGGAATTGTTTGCCCAAAACTAAATCGATTATAATTTTGAATTTGTTAAGCAAGGAAATAAAGGAAATATGTGGAATATAATAATACAATGGGTTTGAATGTAATTTCGGTTACAAAAAAGATTCTCTTGATTTGAAAAAAAAAATTTTGACAGTTGCTGCGCTACTATTGAAAGCCGCTATGAATGAGAGCAAATTTCGAATGTTTCCTCCGCTAACGGAATACGCTATTTTATTTTCTTTAATTTTATAATATTTTAAGAATTCTTGTTAATTTACTTACATTTTTTCATTTAATTACAGGTCGTTATGAGTTTAAGTTTTCTTACAAATAATCACAACACTAAAAAAACAACATGATCAACAGCGCAAACACAGTTGACTTTAATGTAATAAACCATGGTAAAGTTATACTTCCACACAGTTTAGTGCCATTGGACAAATGCAAACTAGTACACACTTCGAAAATACCTCAAAGTGACGGCGAAAGATTTACTACGTCATATGCAATACAAACCTCTATTAATCCCTACACTTACACCGTCGATAATAAGCCCAGAGGTGATATTCAAAGTGCCGAGACCAAAGACATTCACATGCAGTCGCAACGTGTACATGTCCAGCATCTGCAAACACATCCCAACAATCAATGGATTTATGATAAATATCACAACTTAAACACTGAAAGAGAGCGGACTACGCCAAATTGTATAACTAAAATAAATCACAATAATAACGTAATTAGAAAAGAAAGTGCCTTTAGTTTAAATAGCAGCAGCAAGTGCAGCGTCAGCAAAAACTATATTAATAATAATAGCAACAACAACAACAACAGTAATAATAATAATATTAGTAACTTCCCAAATACATTCGAAAATGTAGAATGTGATAAGGACTTAGTCAATGATAGCATGAAAAAGTCAGTTCGCGGAGTCATTGCTCATATGGGTTCAACCGATAGGCGCACGGCGTCCATTTATAGTACTGATTACCAAGAAAATGCCTTTCACCGCATCGAAGATGTGCACAATTATGCCAAGATGGACCGTTATAGCTATTCGAATGAAAGTAGCAATAGCAGTATACATGAGGAGGACAATGAAGACGAAGATGAGGATTTAGATGAGGATGACAACAATGATGATGCCGCAACCAACTACGAACGTTATCTGAGGAAAAGCAAGAATTTAGCGGCAAAGCGAGTGAAATGCTATGAAGATTTTAATATGCAAATCACCAGATTGGAAACGGAGGAGACTGAACTAAATGTTGATGTAGAGACTGTGCACAAAGTGCCGAATGAAACAACTGAAGTGGCGATGCCTAGCACACCAGACCATCATGCGCGCCGACCGATGAATGCTTTCTTGATATTCTGTAAACGCCACAGAGCCATAGTCAAGGAACGGTACAGATCTTTGGAAAATAGGTGAGCATGTGCGCGGCTGATATCTCCTAAACTAACTAATTATTGTACCTATCTTTTAGGGCTATCACCAAGATACTTGGTGACTGGTGGGCTTCCTTAGATGGCACTGATAAGAAATGCTTTACCAATTTGGCACAACAGGTATGCTTACTTTACTCAATGCAATCCCAAATAAATAATAATATAAAAACTTGTTTAGAATAAAGACGCATTTTTTAACGCAAACCCAAATTTCAAATGGTACAAGTTGCCCGCTCCTCCACTACGCACCTTGAACACTCGCCCAGGCAATACAAGCACGGAACCGGAAGACGACATGAAATCTTTGATGAGCGCCGGTGCTGTGCTAGCAAAGTACACGAAGAGCGGCAACAATCACCTTTTTAAACTAGCTGATGAAGCACAAATGGGTGAACTCAGTAATCTGTTTAATGGCGAAACCGACAACAACAACTGCAATGCGAACCAGAATGCATTACAGAAGGCCTTGGGCGAGACATCACAGTTTTTGAATGATTACATGTCACCCACCAGCAGCACAGAGTGCGTGCAATCGAACAAAAATCGCCCCTTAAGTGAGAATAGCTTCTCCAGTAATGGGAGTGAAGATGATATTTTGCCTAAGAAAACATCAAGAGCATGCAAAGGAAAGATCTATCAAGAACTTATTAATTCAGGGCAAATTTCAGCGGTTTCAAAGAAAATGAAAACACCCAAATTACAAAGCAATCTCAACGGTTACGCTCATCACATTGTGACTCCTTCGAGCACTTCTAACCCAACTTCGCTTGATAGCACCAATCATTTCTCGTCCATGTGTACGATGTTAGTGACATCTAGAAATAATATTAAAATAACTGAAACTTCCCCCGGTGAAGGTTTTCAATCAAATAACGATCTGTCAAGTTTCGATTTGGAAGACAAAATTAAGGAATTGCCAGCACTCAGTTTGGATCTTTACTTACAGCGCAAGCGCAATACGAAGAAAAAAAAGAAATTCACATCGAAGAAACGACATTCAAACAATGCAGTGAACAATAAAAATTCAGGGGCAATAAATATAACACACGCACCAACCGTATCGTGTCCGAACAGAAGTCGGGAAGCACCGTCGCAGCAGGCTGTTGGCAGTCAAAAACGTAAAGCGCGAAAAGAGAGCATCACCAGACGCGACGTCACTGTGATTGAGAATGAAATCGCGTCTGTTATTCCATTGCCTAAGAATTTCAGTACCATAAACGGCTGTTATTACTTCAATGCATCACCAGATGCCGCAATATCAAAATGTCTGCCATTTGGCGAAATCGCAAACTCCACGGCTGCAGCGGGAGCAAACAATCAGCGCACCAACGTCAACATTTTTGGCAATTTATGCAATGATAATTCGTCTACCTCAGACTTACTCATTCTGGCCGAGGTCGCTGCCAATCGCACCGAACTAACAAATTAAACACCAATCGGTTATCACTGTACTATCCACTAACACAACCATATAAGCACCAAAAAGAAATTGTATCTTAAAAATGCAACCAACTTGTTGCATTTTTTCACATATGCTTAGTTTGTAGAAGTAATAAAAATTGTTATTGTTTTCAAAAGTTATATTTAATACTATTAGCATAAAGTCGGAAATAAAATCTTAATTATATTGTATTTTCACAAATTATTGCTCCAGAAGATTTTCTTCGTAATATGATATTATTTTTCTTATTGTTAAAGATGTACGAAGTAATTTTGAGGAACATTACAAAATTGCCGGATAAAAATCCGTAATCGTTCCAGAAACGAAGACCCAACTATCGTGGCAACATCCAGGGAATTATGAGAGGACATAAGTCCTGTTAATTAAGAAAATTAATTTTATTCGACGCAAGTTTTTTTTTTTGTTGTTATTGTTGATAAGCGAACAAATGGAGTACACCTCAACCTTTTTTGAGTGAATACGTTTACGAGAAGTTTCAGTGCTGGTATCGATGTTATCCCGTTGAGAAAATTGTTAAACTTCTCAAGAGAGCCCAATTCTTATACTTACTTAAAATTAGTTTAATTCAAAACGCATCCAAAAACCTTATGAAAACTTCCAATTGCATAACTCAAAAATCTAACGAACAATACCTAGGTTTGTTCAAGTACAATTTTGTACAAGTTTGCATAAAAGTAAACTTCAAGAGAGAATTGCATTACTTATACAAACATATACATATGTATACATGACTCAATAATGTTTGGAAAGTAACTCCCTAAACTTACTAACTGAATGATGACCCGAGACGTAGCAGAAAATAATAAAAAAGGGTATAAAATGTTGATATACACAATATTTTTTGATATCTCAATGATTAGGTTACTTAATGAAAAGTTTCGTCGTATTCCTCACTCGAATTTGGTGAAAACTTTTTATGTTAACCTCTACTCTGTTCTCTTACGATTTTCAGACCAATTTCGAGGTAATATTTACTTATTCTTTTAATGGGTTCCGTAGAAGACACAGAAATATATCTAAGATAGCTTTTAACAAAATCATGAAGTTTCATCATTTCGACTTTAATTCCTTAATATTTCTCAATAATTGCCTAATATACTGGAAATTCAGACATAACTAGTAAGAAAAGGCTTGATTCCGGTGAACACTCTTATATTGTAAGAATGTAAGGATTAAGGATTCTTATATGGCGAGCGATATACATTGTAAGATCAATCGAATTTGGATCGCCCTTTTTGCAGGAATGCAAACAAATTCGCCTACGAAATTTGATTAAGGTCGCTCAAGCTATCCTAGTAAAAAGGATAGAAAAGTAGACGGATAGAGAGATATCGCGAATTGATTCATCTCATGTTAGTATTTATTATCGTCTGAAATATAGGCCATTTTGCATCAATACAAACACGTGTTTCTGGAGTAGAAAATTTTTTTAGAAATTAAATGTAGGGACGGCGACTTTTAAGTCATGTTTATTTAAATGTAATGAATCCATAGAAGGTTTTAGCATGAAATCTACATACTATTTACTCACGTTTAAGCTTGTCCAGGAGACATAGCCGATATTGGCATTAGCCCCTTAACAAATTTGGCAAGGCTCAAAGCGCTTTGTCGATTTATGAGGGTCTTATGATCTATTATATAGGAGACTTAGGTAAAACAACGGCCCGACGTTTAAAGCTGTCCATGTGAGATATCCTGTTAGGATCGCCCTCTTAACCTAATCTAAGCTAAGCTTCCACAGAAAATACGAAAATTGTCTCAAGCAAATGCACTTACTATTTTAAAAATGGTTTATATGTAATAGGTCTTATGTGTTCCCTGAGGAATTGAAATAGCCACTTACGAACAACGCAAGGACAGAAGCGTCGAAGAGAAAGTATTCCAGAAATATTTTAACACATTTGGAATATGGATATTCAATGAATTAAAATTATAAGAGTATATATGTATGTAAATTATTATTATTATTAAAAAAATCATGAAAACATGTTATTGGATCATCATAATTTAATTAATTTCAGCAGAGGTCGCCGTTCGACAGACGAATATACTTTATATCACAGTTCTCACAAAGGGTGCAGGAAATGAAACTTGGCACTAACGGTATATAATATAATCTGGTCGCCACAAATAATTAAATTAAATGCTGTTTAGATAGATTTCAATTCCTAAGTGTGGTGAAATAATTTGAACTTAAATTCTAATTGGCACACGGTTATTGTTTCCACCAAAGTCAGTCGTTTTAGAATTTTTATAACTCTTGCAACCCAAAAATAATTGAAGAGGTGAAAATTTTCCTAACTCTTCCACTTTCATTATCCGTCTCTCACAAATTTTTGGTATTTGTTGTTGTTCCCATGAGAATGACATCGTTGGCATGCGCGTTGCTCATTTCACTGCTCCTCGTTGTTTTTTTTTTCTGGTCCCAGCCCCTCAAACGAAAGTACTATTTTTTATCCAGCACATGTGGTTATGGTACAATACATATGTAAATAATACAATACATATGTAAATAAGTACATAATTGCAAACGAAAATTGCTGTGTAGATACACTCGTGTACCATAAATGACTGCAAATGTACACAGTGTGTATGTTGCTCTTTGCTACCAGTACCTCCCGTGTCACATTTCTCCCATACGACCGAGTTATCATCTCCTGCCGAGCATCGCGTGCAAACAGCTTACAGCGCAAAAATAAGAACCGGTATTAAGCTAAATATGTTAGTAGTATGCCTTATTCGTGCGCTCACTGAGTGTAATTCGCGGTCAGATCAACATTTTCGCCGTTGCTACCGTCGTCATTATAGCCACCACCGTTTGTCAATTTGGCTAGATTCACCTCATCAGAATTTGGTTTCAGTTAGTCAGTCGTGCACCGTTCAGCTCGGGACTTGTGATTCGCTGGTCGGTTGACCAAAATCTAAAAAAAGGTAGTCGATTCGCTGAGAACTCTGCGTATACAGATTTTCCACTGCAAATTTGCTAAGCAAACAAATATTTGAAGTCATTTTTGTGAATAAAGTTCAACAATCCAATAAATTATCACGAATTTCATTCAAAATATACGACCCCGCAACAACACAGTGTTTAATTAGTGAAAAGTGCAAAACGTATTGATTTCTTTACTATGAAACGAAAACAAACACAGAACGGAACGGAATATGTGCTCAAATTGCAGCGATTGTGTTAAAGAAATTAAAAATTAGCATGTTTTGTGCATTTACAACATTCTGGCTTCTTAAATATTCAATATTTAATTAATAAGTTATAGAATAAAGAAAAATTTATAAGTTTAGCTACTTTGCAAAAAGTTTTTTTTGGCGAATTCTTTATGAAAGAATGATGTGGGAGAGCGACACTGAAAGGACCTGTAAAAAGTTATATAACTCAAAGCAAGTATATTGAGAAGCATAGACGACGGAGATAAATATGCACATGTATAGATTGACGTTAGAACGCACGTTGCTTGTGTTTCGCTCACTCGCTGAGCCGAATCGAGTCAGAGATATACTAAAATTATCCATTGACTGCTTTTGTATATACTAATTTTCTGCTCGATGCCAACACTAGTGGCAACACAGGGTTGAGTAAATGATTTGTTGAAGCACCACAAGCTTGAATACATTGTAGCTGTTCTCATTTATAAAGTATATGTATGTATGTATATACAACGGCATGCATACATAAATGCCCAGCAGAGAAATCGAACAAGTGAAAACAATTTCCATATAATAAATATGTAAGTAAAGACAGTTGCTCCAGCAAGAGCTTATGAATCTTTTCACATTATAAGTTACTTAATTTGGACCATCACCTTAGAACTAAACCATTCTTAGTGATATACTTACATATATATTTGTAATAAGCAGTGACAAACTCACCGAGAAACTGTTCTGTAGTTGCACCTAAAATAAAAATACCGCAATAACGGTACATATTGCATTTGCTGCAGAATTCATTCATGGGTATTTCACTCTCGCTCGTTAATGTATGTATGTATGTAGATGCAGCTGCAATATCACAATTTAGATATTTACTTGAGTTTACATTCCATTAGTTTAACTATGAAAGGATGAAAGATATATGCGACAGTTGACAGCGCAAATAATTGCACATGAGAAAATTAGAGAAACACAGCTGTCATATTTACATATACTTTCAGCAACCCGAGAAGTCAGATAGCTTCGTAACCAGATCAATCTAAAAGGTGATAATCAAAGTGAAATTAGCAAAAATAGCTCTAATTAATTTAATGCGCAGCATTGCATTAAATTAAAAATAAACTCGCTTTAAATTGTTAATAACGATACATATTATAAAAGGCTTTTCTGAAGTGAATTATCGATTCGTGCACTTATTTCGAATAGATACTGTGCTTAAAATCTCCCAAGTTCATGAGTTACGGATATTGGATATGTAGATTTTTACATTTTATGTTTATAAATGTATGCACCGTTGGCACCAGATATTACGTATTTTTATTTTATATAATATAGATATATCTCTCCTACATTTATGTACCTTTATATGCATGTATGTAATCAAAACCACATAGACAGCCTTTTTAAAATAAATATGTATTGTATATCACCTGTGTACATACAATTGTATGTATGTATGTACGTGCGAGGAAGTTTTTTTTGGAAGTCTAGACGAAATTCGTTTACGTTTTTAAAGACGAATCTAGAGTTATTTCCATGATTAAATTATATAAGGTTGTATTATTGGAGAGCGTGGTTCTTCTTACGAAAATATTTATTAATCCATTATGTCATATCTTTCTTATGTTTTTTTCAGGAAATTAATTTATATGCCCAAAGAATTTAATTAAATTCTCAAATAATATTAGAATGTTGGACTTGTCAAAAAACCTGATGCACGTGTTATATTTTCCATATGACCGAACCATTCCATGCATCGAATAAGTGAGAGATCTAAAAAACGTGTTAATATACTACTCAAAATCTTAACCAAACATTCATACTTTAAATAGGTACCATATGTGTTCGATGAGCAGAAAACTTATATTTCCAAATACTCTTAAAATGCAAAATATTACTATGAAAAATATTATTCAAAAATCAAGTCTTACAGCTATTAGAAGAATATTTCTTATCAAAAACAAATACAACTTGAAAATCTGCAGCTATAATAACTGGTATAATAAGATAAAGGTTACTTCAGCTAATTCAGTAAATAAATCTTTCTCTCTTAAATATAAAATGTCAACCTCCAATTTCCTTTTGGGGCACCGGCCAACAGTAATATTTATATTTCACATATTCATGATCAATCAGAGCAAAAGTTGAAAAAAATCCATATATATGCCATATATCTTCCACAATTGTCTATAAAGTTAAAAACATTTTTCAACTTTAACCTAAACTTTCCATATACGGTTATAATGCACTAATATCCCTTCTCCCGTTTGCTTCTATTGGACCGAAAATCTATTAAGTGGGGTTTCACGTTCACTTTTATCTTCACACATCTTAAATAGTTAATATAGTTAAACAGCAGACACACTACTGATCACTGTGTAAACACAACCGATTTGCATATGCCTTCTTACAAATGTATCAATAAGTATGTAAATAAGCAAACCCACAAAGTATGCACGTTAAGTTTAACGGAAAAAGTATGGCAGATCACATGAGTCAATTTGATTAAAACTCGTTTTTTTGGTGTCTATTAAAATTAGCGCTGTGAGATATTTGCACATTCCCATTTGCACATTCACTGTGCACTTTTAATATTGTAGCTACTGAAATCATCAGCTTTCGCTCATTTTTGTTAACTACGCAATTTCATTATTAGTTCTAAGGATAGCGTTTTCAGTATACGTAAGCATAACTTTAAAGGGGAGTAAAATCTATTCTTTGAAGAGCAAATCTACTTGAGCATCAAAGTAAGACCTAAAGTTGATTTTAGATTGAGATTTTTGCATTAAAGCACATCCTAGAGGTCATTTTCGGTACAAATACATGAGAAAGATAGGTTTCTCATACCCAAAAATTCACTTAGAGAATATTTGAATCATGCATGCAATCTCTACATTTGACTGAAAATGCTTACTACGCATTACATAGTCTTAAATCGATTTCGTTGTCCTCTTACTCTGCGCGTACATGAACCAATGAATGAAATGGTACCAATTTCCGGCCGTATATTGCCGAAGCTAGCAATATATAATACTTACTTATATATACATATGTATATAAAATATAGTAAAAGCCAATTACAAATGAGCTTTAAATACATACATCTTGATGAAATTCGACCATAATTATTCTAAAATTGATTTTAATAAATTGAAACTAAGCTTCATGTGCATATGGAATACAAATATAGTTGACTGCAGTGATTTTTGATAAAAATTAATGGATCAGTATATTTGACTTTGTAATTGATCTTATAATCGCAAAAGCAATAAAGTTTAGGATTCGCTTATTTAGATATACATATGTACATGACATATATGCATTTAAGTAGTAAAAAAGTTAAGTGTAATTTTGCTGATTCCGTTGCCGAATTTCAACTAGGAAAGAAATACGAATGCTCAATGGAATATCGTAGAAGGAAAATCATTCTATCTGCTGCGTATTGACGTCAAAAAGAGTATAAACTATATTAACTTTAATAACTCACATACAATTAAATACTTTTGTTAAAATTAAAAGAGCTTATAATTTTTTTTTTTGGATTCTGAAGCATAACAAAGAAACCGTTAACTTGGGTTTCCGTGAAGCTATAATACCCTTCACAAATAAAATATTTTCCATACAAGAACTTTAATTTGATCGTTCCGTTTGTATGGCATGTACATGCTATAGAAGTTCGATCTGAACAATTGTTTCGGATATTGTACCGTTGCCTTGGACAATAATTTCGTGAAGATATCTTGTCAAATAAAAAAGTTTTCCTTACAAGAAGTTGATTTTGATTTTTTTAATTTGTATGACAGCTATATGCTATAGTGGGCCGATATCGGCGGATCCGACAAATGAGCAGCTTCTAGGGGAGAAAAGGCCGTGTGCAAAATTTCGATATTTCAATCGATATCTTAAAAACTCAGGGATTAAATCGCGTATACAGACACGGACAGACAGATGGACTCTTCGCATCATGCTGATCACTTATACATATATATTTTTTATAGAGTTGGCGACGTTTCCTTGTGGGTGTTAAAAACTTCGTAGCAAACGTAATATACCCTGTTCAGGGTATATATATAAAGTTATCTTCTTTATAATTGAAAAATATTCTTAATAAGGAGTTTTTATAATCGGAAGAAAGGCGTTGAAGACTGAAATTGTTGTGAAATGATAAGAATAGGGATTACGCAAGTTTTGTTCTGCTACTTATTTGAAATGCATTTGATAGAAATAAACATAGTTCGTGGCGTCATGAATTAAAGAATGGGATGGGTTTTGTATACAATTACAATTAAAGCTTGACAGTTTGTTGCCTTTATGAGCATGCCGAAATCTTGTCTCTATCATTATTGCTGCACTGATAACGGTCTAGTGAATTGTCAATTAAGCAGTGTAGAGTAAAGCAGTAAATAAATAGTGTTCACTCAATGATGGAGTAATTTCAATACGGAGGAGTAGCAAAGCCAATGACAAACGATAAAGGAAGCAAGATAAATAAAGTTGATCTTAAAGTTGTGATATAATTGTATAGTATACTTAGGTATAACTTCTTATGTACCTACATAGAATGCATACATCTTTTTCGTACACTTTGAGCAACACGTAAACAAATTTGGAGCATCTTTTCATGAATAAAATTCCCAAATTCGAGTTCATTTCCTCTTTTAATCGACGAAAATAACTTATACAAACAGTAAAAAATACTATAAAAATAAGCAATACAATTTTGATTATTTTTTTGAAGTATTACATGTCCAAATTAAACCCAAAAAAATCTTTCTTAAATTTAATATCAAAATATAAGAAAATAAAAAAAAGTTAAACGTGCATTTAAGAGTTTTGCTATATAAATAAATACATATATACATACGTATGTATATGCGGTTGTGCGTTCGGTCGCAAATTCTAAGGAGCGCCAATACCGGTCGAAACTGAAGAGCAATTGTGTAAACGCATGCGCCATTTGAATTTAGTTAGGTCAAATTTTAATCGTACATACATACAAAACTGTCTTCAAAAGAGTGAATTGTAATTGAGTTCTGTGGAGTTCTTTTGGTGGTGAATTGTAACTGTTTGTTGCGGGGTTAGAAGTAAATTTTGCCATTTGCACCAACACATTCCTGTCATATCACTTATAGCCATAACAGTGCAGAACAATCACGGAAGACGTACACAGTCAACCTTTAAATAGTGCAGCCGAGAATTTAATAGTGAGTGCTTAATTCAGTGCAACAATCAGTTACTTCATTCCTGTTCCCGTCGTACAACTTTAAACTTAATACCAGTGTGTGTGTATGTAATGGCGTTTTTGCGTTCCATTTGTGCTCAACGTGCCACATCAAATTTGGTTTATAGTCGCAATAAAAGTAATAGGAGCGCCACATCTGTGTGGAGATCGAGTGGCGAGGCAACTGCCACAGCATCAATATCGACCTCGTCATCTTTAGGATCAACGAACCAGCAGGAGGTATGTCATGTAAGTGATCGTAAATCAGACGATCTCAAATACTCAGCGGTATTACAGAGTCAGATAAGTCAACGACAACCGCAGCAACATCAACTTCTCAGCAGCATCCTTTTCTCACCTGCCTACAACTCGCGACATACACTATTCACGAAAGGTCCGCTTGATCGATCTGTAGTTGCTGCTCGGCAAGAGGCTGAACCTGAGGTAAAACGAACCCGATCTCATAAGCCCCCACAGCAACAACCAAATGTTCCTGCTAATCCCCAACGTGATCCATTGGATGTCAGTTTCAATGATCCAATCGCGTCATTCAAGAGCAAAACAACATGGGAGTTGATACGCGCTTATTTGGTATACACCGTTTGTTCCATTGAACCTGTAGTAGAGAACAATCTCAAGGTAAATTAAATCTTCACATATTCTTTAAGTAGATGAATGTAAAAATTTTAAACCCATGTATATTTATATTATTTCATATTAGATGTATCTAGAGGTTGTACATAAATTATAAATGAAACAGATTTAAAATTTCGCTAACATCAGAGTTTTGACATTTCACCAGAAGTGTAGCTAAAGGATTCACTCACTAGGGTTGCAAATAATTTTAACTAATAATATATTATATTTATAACCAAATCAATTTTTTTTTTTTTTTGAGACAAGCTTTAATTATATATACAGAATATATTATATTCTCTAGATGTTTAGAAAGGTTAGGGCCGACTTAAAAACATAGCCTTTAAATAATTACTAAGCCAGTTGAGGCATTTAATATAGTATTTATAGTATAAACCATATCCGACAACCAGTTCTCTCAGCTAGAGGAATAATGAACTTGTACCACATAGAACTATCAAAATAGCATATTTTAGTGAAATATTTTTAAAATTTTCCATAGAGCTCCAAAAACTAAATTCTTATATCAAGAAAATAAAAAGAAAGGATACATTCTTTTTGTTTGATTAAACCTACATGTACCATATATTGTACCTCAAATCATATGTAATGTAAGTAGCCCCCAAAGTTGCTGTTTGCGTTTCAAATGTATGGCAAATCACTCGATTTTCTTTCAAAAGCTCAACCAGGTACCTGGTACATTAGAGTTTAAAAATAATTTGCTAGACAAGTGCATAAGCCAACTGTTATTAACGGCCCGAGTCAGGCATTTTGGCTTTCACTAATTGAAAAAAATTAAACAAATGGTGCACTTACATCAGTTATGGCGATTTGTTCTGACATTGATGGTTGGTCGTGTGATACAGCTATTTTCTTGGATATACAGTGTAGATATATGTATGCATATAATGTACATGCTTTCATGAAAAAAGTTTTAAATTAAGTGAAACGGGTTACTGGTGCTTTTGTAAGTTGTATATATGTAAGTACAAGTACTTATATGTAATATATGGTGAAATTTATTGCCACCGGCATCGCAGGCCTGATAGTGGTGACGCCATCAAACGACAAGCCCCCTAAACCGGCCACAAGAAAGGCATTCATATAAACGAAAGAATACGAATGCTTACAGTATGTATGTATTCAACGACGAACGAATGTGATAAAACAGAGAGTGCCACCGACCAACCGACAATGGAGAGTACCAGTAAATAGACGCCCACGAACGCAAACACGCTGGCGGTCGCAGAAAAGTTTGCGCCGGTTAATGCAGATAAATTTTCTATGTGAAAAGATTTTATGGCGCCCGGAAATAATGCACACGTACGTACATACATGTACTTACATATTTACATGCCAAGTGTGGAGTGGTACGGATTGTCAATATGTATTTAATTAGCACTTTTTGGATAGTTGCTATGAAAACTTATTAAAAAGTCACGTGACATCTCTATTCACTAGTTCACGATACTATGCTACTGAAATTATATTTTTGCTTCTGGCTAAATACAAGGTTCATCGAGATTGGACGTCACTATATATACAATAATACTTTCTCTTATCTTTAGCTAAATAAAAGTGGCAAGCTCTTGAATGAACAACAAGTTAGACAGATGGATGTGGTATTCTTCCATTTAAGTTTGCATTTTTCCTACAAGATACGTTCGACATTATACCAAATTCTTTCGCTGCTAAAATATAATTAAGTTGGCAATTGTCGTATTTTTTTCAGATGATTCACTGTCTAAACTTCAACCAGCCGCCTTTATATAACTTGTTTTACGCTTTCAGCAGGTTTATGCTTTAAGTACACTTTGAGCAAACAACGGGCAAATAAAGTGTGGCTAATATATTTCATTATTAGGCACGCGAATAATATGATGTATATATACATATGTACCTTTGAGATTCTTTATATAAAATTTAGAGAATTTTCATGCTTGTTTCTTCACATATTATAATATTTTGAGTAATTGCTTGCAAATTAATATGTGTAGGTACTATGTATGGTATGCACAATTCTCTCACAAAAACATTTTAATTTATTGCCAGTCAAATAACATATCGCCAACTCAAAAATATTAAAATACTTACATTCCACAGGAATATGTATATTTTAAATATTTTAAGTATATTTTGCTTGCAATAATTCGTTTTTATATAATATGAAATATTGGAATACATATATGTAAATACACTTACATGTATGTATATATTATATATATATATTATATACAGCAAGTAGTAGTTAGTTAAAATTAATGAAAACTTTGCTCAATATTTTGTTCAAAATAATAGTTGCGTCGCTAATATCAAGGATATTTTTTATCTCGTGACATATTATGAATGACAATGATTTGAAAGAGGATAACCTTTACTGAGATATACAATTTCGAGTTAAATTTGGTTAACCTAATAATATGGAAAAAAAATAGCTATTGCATATCTGAAGTGGGCATTATTTATGCTAAACAGTCTCATTTTATATAGTCAATTGTTTGAGAGTGATATCTCTTCTGGGTGTTTTTAAAATACCTTTTAAATGAAAGGTAGTACACAAAAACTCTCAATTTGAATTAAATTAACCGTTAGATATGAGTACATGTTCTAACGTTGGTTTTTCTTTTGAAAATATTCATGCGTTTATAAATTGGTCTCTCGTTGCACCCGTGCAAACAAATTGTGTAATAAGTAACAAATTGAACAACTTAGATATTTAACCCCTTCACTACCATGGGGATAGAACTATAATCCCTAGTTTCTAGTTCGCATTGTATTTGATTAAGAAACCGTCCCAAAGGTAGTTATATTTATTTATTGTTTCCGTCCAAGACGGATGAGTTTGCGAATGAAGTGGCGTACGGATGCAAATGGCTTCGATTAATTTATAATAATTTTTTTTGCCGATTTGCCGTATGCAAAAAGTTAAGAGTTAGTCTACCGGTTGCTTCCCTGGTAAAGTACGCATTGACAATCTGTCGCACTCCATATAAACGTACCCATTCTGACGCCGCCTAACTGTCACAAGAAATAGTTGCGTAACGTTTTCTCGAGCTTTTAATTGCGTCTAAAGTGCATTGTTATTTTCATTGCTCTGTTTTATGCAGCTCAATGTAAGAGGAATATCGTACATATTACATTTGTACAATGTGCAAAGAACCGTTTTGTTTTGAATGTTTTGGTTATTTTCATAATTAAATTGTAAAAAATCAAACTTAAAAAATTCGCGTTTTCTTATTTAAAAACATACACTACCGATTAAATATCCCAGTCCCATTTAACATGATGTAAATAACCCAATGGGACACATTATCCCAGGTAATATTATCCTTTTCCCAATCCGAAAAAACTAGCGGTTATAGTACAGTAACAGGGACAGGTAGCTAAAATTGTATCCCACTTTATTCAGGGGCTTGAAGCGATGAGATGAACATCTCTAACGCGGTGTTGAAAAGAAAAGATTGTGAACTAACTACTCAACAAATTTACTACTATCTACTGCTTTTGTATCATGTAATGTTTACGAACATATTTTTAGACTGTGGCTTACGATTTCGTATCTAACAGACTATGCTATCAATGAACCTCCGCATTATTAAATCATAAGTAGTATAAAGGAGTATAATTCTTAAGGTGAACTTTATATGTGTATATACATATGTATATTTATATTTGATTAGTCTAATAATTTCGTGTGTATTATTTCGCACGTAAAACGTGAACGGAGTGTTTTCAAAATTCCACTTAAATACATACGATAGCAAACGTAAAATCAACACAATTTATCTATTTAGCATCTGCAAAGGCTCACATACAAACAAACGTAACAATAAGTACTTGCTACCATAACAAAAATTAAAAATCTGACAATCTCACAGTTTAAATTTGGCGACCGAGTGTTTAAGAGAATTTGTGGTACTTCGCCGTGGGTTGAATTTTGGTGAATGACTATGGCCTTGACGTTGCGACGATTGCACGTTGCGCCGGTTAGACAGTTAACTAATTCATCCCACCACTGGCATTATTTAGGTATTTCGAGTACGAACACTTTTATATGCATATTGAAACATCTATTCATATGTGTCTGTGTGCAGAAATGTACCTATGAGTACATTGCACGTCAATTGGGGACCATGAAAAATATAGAAATTTTTGACAGAAATAGATTCACGTAGCTAAAGTGAAAATTGTTTTTTTTTCCAAGCTCGCGTCGTTACATGTACGTTATGTGCGATCAAAGGTCTAGCTGTTGAAGATATACCTATGTAAATATGTATACATATGTATATCGATCATTAGGTTCTGTTGAGAGATGTAGCAAGTTACAAGAAAAAGGCTTTGAATACCATCATAACCATTGCTCAAGTTAATGATTAATTATGATAAATTATGTTTTACTTCGCTCACTTTAAAGTAAATAAATTAAATACATACATATATATACATATGTATGTATATATTTTTGGCAATAATTAATCATTTATATTCTAAAGCTGGAGTTCAAAAATATAAATAAATCTTTTCCATTCAATTATAAGTGAAAATCATTAACTATAAAATCTTTTTCTTTGTCTCTGATTTTTGCACAACAAGAACTACTTCTAATTTATTTACTTTCAACAATGATTGAATTTTCCTTTCGTTTCATTCCTTCGAAGAAGAAAAACGCGGTTGTGATTTGCATTCGTTTGCCATTTTCTAATTTCATTACACAATAATTAAAATATTTCATTAATATTTTGTGAGGAAATAGTTGGCATTTACAATTCTAGACCTGATTAGAAGTAATTATTAATGCTCAGAAATTTATAATTAAGAAGACAACACAGAAATCTTAAACCTTTCCCCCTGTTACAGTGGTAAATACAACAATTCTAATATTTCAAAATTGTTAAAGTTTAATATGTACATGTATGATGTTCTTTAAAATCAGATGTATGACTTTCTTAATTTTTTCTCTATATAAATATATGTAAAAAATTTCTACTATATATATTGGATTAGACTTTGATAATACTGTTCTAGGGGTTGGGGTTTCGGAAATATGCTTCAAAAATGTTCTTCCTACTATTAAGGACCCCCCTAAGATAAGAACATACAGCTCCTTTGACTATATCAATGAAGTGATGGTTAGGCAATTTATTGTGTCACAACTATTTATTATAAATACTTAATGCATATATATTTTATTTACACTTTAATCGCATTGATATTCATACATTTTGTATATGCCACACATCACAGCTAATGAAGATCGCCAATACTTTGCTCGGCGACAAATTGTTTACAATGCTGATGAAGGCTACGTTCTACGGTCATTTTGTAGCTGGCGAAGATCAAGTCAAAATCATCCCAACACTAGAAAGGTAATTTTCCAAAATAAACGAAACTAACACTTTTTTTCTATTTTTGTTATATTTTCACATGTGCCAACACCATTCATGCCACTCCGATAATTACCCGCTTTCGACAAATGCAATATATCTCCCGCCAACGCTTTTGCTAACGGCTTTCGTGCTATGCTGCCGCTTTTCCTAGATAATGAAAATTACACGCGCTTTAATAGGTGACCGGCTGTTTGAGTTACTGATGAAGTTATCTTTTTATGGACACTTTGTTGCGGGCGAAAATAGACGTACTATCGTGCCTACTCTTGAAAGGTTCCTATTATTAATTTCACCTATGCGAGTACATAATATATTCATTCACATATGTACATATATCTTTGTATGTACTCGGGTAATAAAGCATGTGGCATGACTTTAAAAATTTAAAACAAAAACACAATTTACTAAAATTTAACGATCGAACCATTAAATAATTATAAAATTATTTCTGTGTACACATATGACACACACACACACAAGCATAGAGTAACTAAATAAAAGTGTGTCACATGACACTAGTACCTAGAGGTTGAGTAATTTCAACTAAATCGAACAGCATCAATAATCCGTAATCATACATATGTATTTGTGAATCCCCGCACTCACCACCGCAATTAAATTTTCATAGTCGAAATGTTACTCGTGAAATTTACTTGGCCATTATTCCGATCTCAGTGACGCAGCTCAATTGAAAACACCTTCATACATTTATATAAGTATACTTGTGTTGCTGGTGCAAACCTACTTGTAGAAAGCGTACTGCAGTTATGTTATACTTCACTTGACTACTTGCATCTAATAATCCATTACTTTCCACACAAATTTTGAATGACAATTATGAAACCTTTAAAAATGCACATTCAACTAAATAACCGTTAACATACTCGTGCGATTAGCCCCTATTTATGGTTTTTGCTAAATGTTATGGAAACATTCCAGGCTGCGCTCGTTTGGCGTGAAACCGATTCTTGATTATTCTGTGGAGGAAGATCTCTCTCAGGAAGAGGCTGAGAAACGCGAAGTTGAGTGAGTTGCCACTATTCCTACTTGCTTGTTGATTACTTACAAATTCCTTTATTACAGATCTTCAGTTTCTAGCGCTGGCGATGTCAAAGATGATGGTACGATAGCGCAATATCATGTAGAGAAGTCCTTCGCCGACCGACGTTACAAAGTAAGCAGCGCCCGAACTTACTTCTACTTGAATGAAGCTACTTGCGAGCGTAACATGGAAATTTTCATAAAATGCTTAGAGGCCGTCTCAGGTAAGGGAGCGAAATAGTTGGGCGCGAGTCATTTTCATAGGCTTAAAAGCAGTAAAATTATTAGTGCCGCAAATAAACTAATATCGACTAATCACAATTATTTACCTAACCTAACTTTGTATCATTAAAAAACAAATTAGTTTTACCTCCTTGTGGATGTTATTCTTCAAAACTAGAATCCCTGAAGGAGTATTACCATCTTAGTTTAATGGTTAAAAGAGTGCACAACAGGAAAAAGTTACTATGAATTCGAAGAACGAACACGATCCTTTTTAATTTTGAAAACCAATTTTAAATAATATTCGAATATCAACCAAAACTTCACATTTCCGGATCAAAGAATATTAATAAGATATATAGATATAGACTTAAAGTCTAATTCTCCTTAAACGGAATCAATATTATTTAAAATTACAGTTCAATATGATATTTACTTCTTAATAGCATAAAATTTATTCCTTCATCACGTTTAAAAAAAAAAAAGATTAGCCTCTCCTGTAAGGTTATATGTATACGCCTATAAATTCATAAATCAGTCAGAGTACTCGTATATATTGTGGAATTAGTCTGAAATGTTATGTGAATCTTTCTTTAATCACGTTAAATGCTTTTGGAAAAATCGTTTTCCAAGACATTAGGCAATATTTTTAGAAATTATCCAGCCATTATAACAAAATCGGCTATCAGTTTTCCCCAATAAAACCTTCTGGTATGTGTAATTCTTAACATTTCCATTTCTATCCAAACTCTTTTTAAATAATTGTTTTACAACTTTTTTTGGCTAAATTATTAGAATTGTATAATCTTTTTTAGTTCCATTTCTAGATATATGCATATATTCTCATAGATTAAAACACAACCAAAATATCGACGATCTTATCCTATGATACAAAGTTTCCAAAAACGTGTGATATTTTAGCGATCAGTAGTTTCCAAGAAAATGATTTGAGATATCGTCATAAGAGAAAAAGCAGCAATTAAATAATCATATAAATAAATAAATAATGATATTTTTTCGAAATCATAAATGTTGTAAATATAAATCAAATTTGTCTAGCATCTTGTGGCGATATTCAAAGCCGTGGTGTACTTTGTTTCTAGGAAACTTTGTAATATACACTACTAACTTTTATAGCGCGAAAAATAATAAATAAACAATTATTTGATGCAAAAATTATAGATAATCAGTAATAAATACAATAGTATAACTAGCTGAAACTTTACCAAATGCTGTGACCGACTTTCGTGAAGATTAAATGACTGATTTTCGAACATATTCGAAATTGTCTGTCTCCAATTGCATATGAAAATTTCAAAACATTGTCTTTGTTCTACATATCTTATATTTGCTTACGCATTCACATATACACTCTTGCACTAATGTGATCGCTCATAAAATTTTTAAAATTTTGAAGAATTCATTTTTCTTTGTATAAGGTTTCTAATGATTAACTTCTAAATATAAATACTTGTGCTGTTTGCACATAAATTATGTACAGATGAACATAAATACATATGTTTATACGACGAGCTTTTGTCAATAACAAAACCCCAAATTTGTTTTCGCACACAAGAAAATGGCGTTTAAACGAATGTTTTCATTTGTTTACACTTATTTTGTGGCAATTTATCGTTTTATGAATATACTTGTAAATGTATTAGTCCAGCTCTTGAAGGTAAGGGTAGTTGCAGTTCGAAGCTGGAATATGGTACACCCATAATCAAATAAATAATTATCAATAAAAACAGTGTCGCCATAAAAATATACATATGTATCCATTTTCAAAATGAAAGCAACGACAGTCAATTCTACCAAAGAAGACTTATTAAAAACAAGTCAAATTAGTTGTAAATAAACACTACGTACCTACGTTTATGCATGTGTTCATAAATGCACGTGAATCCATAATTGGTGACAGCCGAAAATTTAGTTAAACCCATAGAAAAGAGTTTGACATCTTTGAACTAATTATCACTGAATTAGATGGGGTGTGTGAATTATCTTGGTTGAATTGAGACTTTTCATACAAAAGTGCGCTTATAATAAACGAAATACGGCTGTTATTCCTAGTTAACACCAGAATGAGTTTAATTAGCTCGAGTAGTTTCTATGACGTTGTAAATATTGCTAAAGAGCAGACGATTTCGTTCCAGGAATTGAAGCCCCTCAATTTTGATAATTTTCAAAGCAATATAATAAGTAATATTTTTTCGTTAAAATCTCTGATATTTTCGGAGTATCAGAATAGGTTTAAGGAATTCAGTTTTACTTTATAATAGACAGGGTGAAGTAAATTATGAGTCACGAGAAATAATTTTATGAATGCTGTTGGCATTAAATAACATCAGTAGTATTTTTTCTAATAGAAGAATAGTCAGTAGCTTTTCTTAATAGAAGGAAATATCACCCTGGTGTACCAGATAACTGCATTTACTACTAACATGATCCCAGAAAACAAGATTGTGTTAAATCAAAACCACAGTTTCACTTTCGAATTGGGGTGGTTTCAACAAGACAACATTTTCATTCAAATCCCAAGAGTCGTAAAACAGTGGATTAAGGACTAAAATTTTGATATTATATTAACCGGACCTAAACTTTAACATCAACGGTTCGGTGTTGTTATTTCGAACAATATACGAAAATGTTAGACAATTTAAAGACACTGATGGCCTTAGTGACCATAAATAGAGTATGTCCATTATATCGATTAGAGCCCTAGAAATTCACCATGAGCTGAATTTCGATGCAATTGATATTTTTACTATTAATTTTTTAACTTCCCGCTAAGAAAATGGAAAATTTTCTAAAAATCGGGAAGATATTGGTTTCACCCCATTTTGCAAAAATCGAGTTCTCAACAGATCTCGACGTTCTGAGGGTCGAGGAAGCTTCCCCGAACATTTCTACGATGATGTCCGTATGTCTGTATGTATGTGTGGATGTATGTTTGTGTGTGTGGATGTATGTGACCCTCTTATAACTATTAAACTGCTCAACCGATTTGAATAAACTAAACGGCAAAGGGTTTCATTGCACTTGAATTTCGTGTAAGTTTGGACCCAATCGGACCAGTAGATTTCGAGAAATCTCAAATATAAAAATTTTGAAAAATCGACTTGACCGATCGACACCAAAAACTAATCAGTTCTGAACCTTGAAGAAACACATCGTTTGCCGCAAACCGGGTCGAAATCGGTTGATTTACTTGCTAGATATCGAAAATGAAAAATTTCGAAGAGCTCAAAAGCAGTGAAAAAAGCGAAATTTGAACGTTAGCGTATGAAATTAGAGGGAAGTTGCAGGGATGGCCCTTGAGGCCAACCGTTTTCCACATTTTTTTTAAATTTGATTATTCATATATCAAGAGTAGACAAAAACAAGTAAGGATGGTCTAAGTTCGGATGCAACCGAACATTTTACATTCTCGCAATTTGAAAAAAATCAAAGGCGGGAAAATATTTTACATATTGACCAATATATACTGTACAAAGCCATCCGGAAGTTTGAAATTCTTATATAATTCTTATCAATTTTCTTATACAATATAAGGTGTATGGGGGCTAGGTAATATTTTGAACCGATTTGATCCAGTTTTAGTCTTACATATCATATGGACATATCATTACCAAAATTTCCTTTTTTAATTTTTACCCATTCTTAATACAAAAATAAACTTCCCGAATTTCAATACAAGACTTCAAAAATTTACCGATATGCCCGGTAAAAAAAAAACAGCAATATGCACTGGAATCCGCATATTTAGAGTTAAAATAAAACAAATTTGTTAATATAATTGGAATGTCGGTCAAGTAGTCCCCGAGATATATGGTTTCAATATGTCCAATATTTATACCTGATGCTGTAAAGCCCTTCTCTGCCTTCTTGATTGTGAAATGTTATGCTTGTGGCGCAAATATTCAGTGAGTTATCACACTTTTACGGAATGGGGCCATGTCCACTTCTAAACAATTTTTAACCTATAGATGTCCCTTCCTACTGCTGTAATTTTGTGGTTGCCTATGGCGTGGCAATAAACCAATTCTGCTCATTTCCAATACGAACCCTTCTTGGGTGTCAAGAACACGTGGCAATTTATGGGTTGCACGGAAGGACGGACAGACAGACAATCACTCGGATTTCAACTACTCTCGTCATGCTGATCATTTTCAAAATATAACTCTATATCTATCTCGATTAGTTCAACGTGTTACAAACAAGAGTATAAAAACTAAATACTAGTTCACTCTTCACTAGTTCACTTTTTCGTTAAGTTTTCCCGAAAAATTAGAAAAGTCTAAAACTTTCTTTTATCCAAACTATATCTTATTATTTATTAAAAGTAAACTATTATTTTTAACAATATATTTAGACAAAATCTACGGTTTGGCCTTTTAGATCGTGGAAATTATTCCGTTACTCCCGAAGTATATTATTATGTTATATTAAAATTATTATTATTTAAACTATTCGGTTTTTGTTGCTATGTTAATTAAATTACTAAGTATTTAAGTAGTAAATTTATTTTTAACACATTATTAATTTCTTCCCTCACCAATGAATTCACTCAAATTTGGTTTACTGCTTTTGAAATAAAAAAATCACACTAATAATTTCCACTAACCCACTAACAAAGATGATGATCACAAAACTGTACCTCGACCCGTTGCTGAGGGTAAGCTAAACTTGGAATTTTATAGATATACAATGTTTGTATTCTAGCTTTGCCGAAAATATACCATTTTGTACATAGGAATAAATGTTTCGTCCTTTGTATGTATGTATGTACACCTGTAAGCCCACTGAGTATGCTGCTGTGTCATACAAATAGAATAGTATTCCCGCCATGTAAATACATACATACTTATATACGAGTATATATAATTATTAAGCTATATAAAGTCGTAGCAACCATCGCTTTAATTGTCGTGATTTTAATTGATATCATCCCACCCAGGCGCCACTTTTGGTACGGGTATTACGGCAATTAAGCTTACGGCGCTTGGACGGCCACAGCTTTTGGTGAGTTTGAAAATGCCGTTAAAGACACTTAATTTTATAATAAATTATTTGGGTTCCTTTCCTTTTAGCTGCAAGTTTCGGAAGTGATAATGCGCACTCGTAAATACATGGAGGACCTAGTCGGTGGTCAGGGTAATGTGCTGACTCATCACAAAACTATCAAAGATCTGGAAAAATATTATTCCAGTTTCGGTGACAATAAAAATGTGCAAGATTTCTTGAAGAATGTTACTTCGGACAAGGAGGGGTGAGTCCCTCATCAATACTTCATATGTAGGAACATGAGCTTTAAATATATCTTTTCTTCAAAGTATTCTCCACTTATTCCCCTGGTCTGGCATTGTAGATGAGGACTCGCAGCTGAGTGACACTTTCCGTGTGCCAGACCCACAGACTGGACAAATGCGTCGACTGATCTCACAGATTCCGCCCAAGGAAGAGGAAATGTTCAGGAATATGATTCGCCGTGTCAATACAATTGTTAAGGTTATTATTATTTTTCCGTCAACTCTACTTTTTTTTATGAGGAACTTTGTTGTTTGTAGGCCGCTGCCGATCTAGACGTGCGCATAATGATTGACGCTGAACAAACCTATTTCCAACCTGCCATTACGCGCATCACTCTGGAAATGATGCGAAAGTATAACAAGGAGAAGGCCATCGTATTCAACACCTATCAGTGTTACTTGCGAGAAACCTTCGGAGAGGTAGAGAAATACATAGTCATTTAAAAATCTGAAAATTTCTATGAACTTATTGATTAACTCATTTATTTTAGGTGTGCACTGATCTGGAACAAGCAAAACGTCAGAACTTTTATTTTGGGGCCAAATTAGTGCGTGGCGCATATATGGAACAAGAGCGAGAGCGGGCGGCTAGCATGAACTATCCAGATCCAATCTGCGCCAATTATGAGGCTACCACTGACATGTACCACAAAACATTGACTGAATGCTTGCGAAGGATAAAGGTAAGTAAACGATGAGTTTTTATGCTTACAAAACGAAACTGGAAATATCTTTGTTTCATTTATTTTACAGTTATTGAAGGACTCCGGTGAGGATGCAAAGAAGATTGGAATTATGGTGGCATCACACAACGAGGACACCGTCCGCTTTGCTATCGAAAGAATGAAGGAAATTGGAATCTCACCCGAAGATAAAGTTATCTGCTTTGGTCAATTATTGGGAATGTGCGATTATATCACCTTCCCACTAGGTATGAATGTATGTGTGTGCTCTAGACGTCAGTCGTCTAGAAAATTGATAAATTATAGTCATATGGGAGTGTAAAGAAGAGTAGTTTCTCAATTATATCACATCCTCTACTTCCAAATGACTTTGGTAATAAAAACTTTTTTTCTTCTCGATATTAAAGACAACCGAATGGAAGGTTCAGTCGACGCCTTTGTATTGGCAGAAGTAAAGCTGTTGTAGTAGAAAATGTGATTCAAAACCAATTTTCATCCTTGACGTTAGGAAACAAATTTATTATTTTTTACCTTCGCTTTCCTCTGAAAAAACCTCTACTTTTCCAATACTCCGCCGCGACTACTAAGTACAAGTTTTCACTTGTTTTAAACCAAAGATGAAAATATTTTTAGGCCAATTGGAAAAGATACAAGTACTAGAGCTTAGGAAGTCAGATTTAAGTGCTTTGAGCCTCCAACGTTTTATTTCTCTTGATCATGAAACCAAAAACTTCTTCACTTAATTTACAACGGATAAATATGTTATTTATTGTTATAGATTTTGCACATTTATTTAAGATATTGGAGAGATAAATAACCAAGATGTATTCCAGGTCAAGCCGGCTACTCAGCGTACAAGTACATCCCCTATGGACCAGTCAATGAAGTTTTGCCATATTTGTCTCGGCGAGCACAGGAGAATAAAGGTGTCTTGAAGAAAATTCAAAAGGAGAAACGCCTGCTACTTTCCGAAATCCGACGTCGACTTTTGACTGGCAAAATATTCTACAAGCCTAAGGGCAACTATGTGCCCATATAAACTTGCCCCACTTAAAAAGTCCATCACACAAATCGAAAACAAATTTACATACACACACACACACGTTCATACGTCAAGCATACAGATAGAACACAACGGTAAATTCAACAAGGTAAAAGGCATAGTAATCACCAGTTGCCGAACCCAGATGCAAAAAATTATTGCTGAAAAATCAAAATGTGTAAGATTTCATTTATACAAATAAATCCTTAACCGAAACACACAACAAATTGATATTACGAAATATAATACTTGTATTTAACATATAATAAATGTGAAGTCACAGATATAAAACGAAAAATGTTAAAAATTAGACTTATATATTTAAAAACTGTAACTAATTGTCGATAACAACAACATCACATTTGAGGACTGCTACTGTCTAATTAACGGTGTATTGGCACAAGTACACTCGGACTTATGTATGTATGTAAGTGCTGAAATCAAATTAAAGTTTAACTGAGCTTGAGACAGTCTTACCTAGGCAAACATAGTGGACTCGCTGGAAAGAAGGGTCACAGATGGATTTATATCTAAGTATGTGTGTACAAACTGCGAAAGCAATGCTCCAATGGTGCTCGATAATTCAAAAATCTTGTCACTATTTTACTTTAAGTTGATTTATATAGTTCGTGTTTTACATATTAGACATATTTTGTGGTTGGCCTTTGGCGCGTTTTATCCTTAAGAAACTATGCTAACATATGCAACATACCTCTTAGCGCTGCAAGGTCTGCTCTACTTTTATGATTTTAATTTTCTAAGCACGATAGATCTCAGCACCTCTCCACCCACTTGTATGTATTTAAGATGCTTCAGTCCAAATTATATTTTTACGAGAATCTTTGGTAGTTGAATCGAATGTAATCTAACTCCAAGTAAACATTTAAAATTTTATTTCGATAGAGCCTTTTAGATATGGTCATATGGTAGCTTATACTGTAGTTTTGTTTGGCGCTTAAAAATATATACTGTATGACTATATTCAAGTATTATAATAAAGAATAAACAAGTGATTGTAATGCCCAAAAAGTTCATGCGCTCTGCAAGCTTCAGTTTTATTGATTGTCAATATGTTCGGTAAATTTTTATTTTGGACCATCTGGTAAAAAAACAAAAAGAAAAGCAAAAACGACCGCCGCTCTTTGCATTGACTATAAAATGTAGTAAATGTTGACTCGATATTGAAATGACAATAATAAACTGTTAAAGTGGCATCGTTAGAATCACATTTATAAGAATATATGAACGTACTTTAATAAACAGAACGTGTAATTTAAAAAACAATAACGAATTTTCGAAGCAGCTGCGCCGGAATTAAATTTCAATTAATGCCTATACCCCAATATTTACCCAAAGTAAATAAATGTTGATTACGAAACTTAAATCTTCTATGCTATATTGTAATTGTAAATGTAATAGACTTCTTTTTAGTTTTAGTCAGCTTCAATTAGTGTTTCTAAAATATGTGCATATTAAAAATATAACTAAAACCCAGAAAGGATGCTAGAAGTTGCTCGATAATTCGAGTCTCGGGACTATTACTGAAGAACTGTAAAGAGTTACTACTCCTTTATTCATGTCGAATAAGGGAATTCAAAACTGTTAGCAAATTAAGCGTTAATGGTGAACTGTTCGTATACATATGTATTTATTAAATTCCATTATACAAGAAAAATTCCTTTATTTCAGTGTTGAATAAAATAAAATTATATTAAATTACATTTGAAATGTTATTATTTAGCCACTTTAATGGGGGAAACACATCTAACTAAATTATATAACGCATTTCTGAAATGAGATCTGTATGTTCGCATCGCACAGTTTTTAGTCTCATGAATGTTAAAAACAAAACGTATACTTAATTAATTGCCTCAAGGCATTTTAGCAGCTCATACCACAGTATAAAAATGGACACAGGCAATAAATAACCATGCCCACATTACTCCAATGTAATTGTCAAAAAAAAATATGTTATTCCTTCAATATAATAACATTGGAAAATATCATATTAACACGAACTATTGTGGGCGGGGTTGTAATCCGATTTCAACCATTTTTATACATTCAAAGGAGATACTAAAAAGATTTGCTTTGAGCAAGTTTGGTTGATTTAGCTTAAGGGGTTTGAGAGATATGTACATTAAACTTATTAGGGGGCAGTGCCTCTCCCGCTTTTTAAGGATTTTCAAACCACCGGTGCCCCTCACCATTGCAACCCCCTGCACCAAATTACAGGCTTGTATCTCAAGTTGGAGCTTAGTGAGCATGGTTATGGTCCGATTCCGCACATATCAACCATCCTTGGGAGCCAAGGCACATACATATGTACCAAGCTTCATAAAGGTATCTCAATTTAATAAATTTATCGCTTACACGGACGGCAAGTCATCCTGATTATTTATATATACGAGGGTTGCCATTTATATTTCGGGATTAGAGAACAAAATCAAATATTAGTCAACGAAAATCGCTTTATTGTATTTCAAAATATTTTCCATTAAGATCTATACACTTTTGCATGCATTCAACCAATTGTCGAAGCACTTTTGCTACTGTGTTCGAGGTGTCTCCGAAATATGAGTTCTGAACGCATCAATCGCCTCTTAAGGTGTCGAAAGACGTTAAAGGAAATCATTCGGTGCCAAGTCAGGACTATATGGTGGATGACTCATCAAATCGATGTTTTGAGTGCTCAAATATGCATTTGATTAACAGCAAAAAAACTGCCAAACAAATGGTTGTGTATCACTCAGAATTTTCTGTTTTGCGTCGTTCTAGTGGTATGGTGGTATTTTTATGGAAGTGCTTCGTGTGCGAACAACTTTTGTAGAATTCGGGTCATCTGGAAAGACCCATACAGTCGACTGCTGTTTACTTTCGGGCCTATACGCGTAAATCTACGATTCATCACCTATCACGATGTCATAGACGTATTTCGAAGCACCGCTATTGTGTTTTTTTAACATTTCTCTCGACCAATCAACACGAAGCTTGTTTTTGCGATTGACAAATTGTATGAGATCCAACGTGAAAAAATTTGTTTTGCAATCTTGAATGTATGCTGGTCCCACTAATGCCTATAGTTGTATTAATCTCACGATAGATAACATGACGATTTTGCAATATCAGTTTGCGCACGGCATCCTTAGTTTCCGGAAAAACAACTGATTTTGGACGACCTTCACGGAATTCGTCTTGGAGTGATCTGTGAGAATCCGATTGTATTCACCATATCAACGATAACACTGCTCTTTGATGGAACTTCATCGGCAAAAATTGAATTAAATTCATCGATGCACTGATTCTGAGTTAATACACGTCGAAAGTTGGAAAAAGTAATCGCGCGAAAATGTTCGCGATTCAATTCCGTTTTTGGTAGAGATGAATATTTTTAGTTACTGTAAACATCACTAATAGCGCTCATATCAATAATCATTAATATCAAACTTTACGATAAAGTTGTAGGTTACCAAATTGCAACAATAGGGTTGTTATATCCGAAAATATTAAAGGCAACCTACGCATATAACTCCATATCTATCTCGATTAGTTATGGGTGATACCAACAACCGTTTGGTGAACAAAACTATGATACTCTGTAGCAACAGGTTGCGAGAGTATAAAAATAAAAATTTAATATTTAATCCAAGATGTTGGGATTAAAAATTAAGAATCTAATTAAAATTGAAAACCTAACATCCTGGATTAAAAATTAAATTTTCTATTTTGTAATTAAAAAATTCACAATCCTGCTTAACACTGATCTCGCTTAACGATTATTTCGAAATCCACCTTTTCGGACGGAAAGTGAATATCTCTTAAATACCTCAAACGATAACAAAAGATATTCTAAAACCAAATAAAACTAAGTTTATGTGTTACTATTGATATAAAACTAGCTGCTACCAAGGAGGAACACAATAACTAAGGTACATGTAATTATTTTAAAAATCTCTTTAAATGGTATGAGTTGTATTTATGGTATAACTAATCAGGAAGTACCCACCGCGACTCGCTTTTGCCTATGTTAATAGCATTTAGTTATGAAGGTAGATACTTAGCTTTGTTATTCGTAAGAATTTAAGAAGTATAAAACATATCGAGGTGTACTTGCGCTGGTGATGCTGCCATGTGCCGAGGGGAAGAAATGGTATTAAAATGGGACTACATGCAGGATAATAACTACAAACATTCCTCAAAATTTGTTAAGAAATAGTTTCAGAACCAAAATATTAATGTGAATGAGTGGCCCGCCCAATCTCATGACCTAAATCCGATAGTTTTGAAGAACTTGATTTTAAACGTTCAATTTGTATGACAGCAATTTCATATAGTGGTCCTATATCGATGGTTCCGACAAATGAGTAGCTTGGAAATAAAAAAACTTGTGCAAAATTTCAGATCGATACCTCCAAAACTGAGGAACTAGTTGGCATATATACTGACAGGCAGGCGGACATGGCTAAATCTATAGACCCCATATACAGCATATATAAATTTCTTCTTCATTTGTTGAGTTTATACTACATTTATGGAACAGGGGTAGTCCGATTCACTCTATGGTAAAGTCAGCAATATATAATATTCTGAGCAAGATACCATTATAATATTATCCAAATTAGAAGTTAAATTAGCACGAATATTAATAACGAATGTTGATTTATACGCATAATTTCTTTTAAAAAATTTCCGAGAGACCATTATATAAACAACACCTCATATTTTTGTACTTTCCATTTTCCTTTTTTTGAGTTCACAAGCTCATAACTCCTCTGGCGTCCCTCTACCATAGCACTTTCTTTAATCCGGCCGTGTTCAAAAGCGAGTTTGGACCAGTAGATAGGATGACCAATTGCTTTATAATATCAGTAATGTAATATGTTTTTGTGTCTAACCAGTGAACTCCTTTGAAATGTCTAAAGCGTCGGTTAGTAATAAAAGAAACTAAAAGCCGCAAAAGTAACATTAGTTTTAACTTTCAATTTCACCCAGAGTTCAGACCAGTGTTAATGTACTCCATATTTGCAGCGACGTGCATAATGGCAAGTGAAAATTTCAATTCACATTATTATTGTGTTGAAGACGATTAGTAATAGAAGTGATATGGGGTATATGAAAAAGAATAGGTATGAAGAAAAAGAAGCGTGGCTTTGCTTTCAGTTAAGAAATTGTAAGCTTAGAGTGTGTATTTATCGTTAATTTCAAAAATTGTTGGCCGTCAAAGTTTTATTTTTAAAATACCTTTATTCAGAATTTTCACAGAAGTATAAAATGAAGTGGTCAGTGCCAGTTGGGGTTTCCTGTGGCCTTCTGTTAGTAATGTGTGAATCGGGTCATGTGAGCACCACAGTTGTCACCAGTGTCAATTACATATTTGAAGGCTTCAGCCCATATGCAACATTGCGCTTCTTTGAATTCAACGATAAAGGCTGGAACATAAGTGAGAACTGCATAAGAGACATGTACAACTTTTTGGAGGGTCTTCGGCGTGGTTCTCTTTGGGCTGTGAAGTGTGAGTGTGCAGTACGGCCGTAATTTTAACCGGCTAATTTCAATAATTAAAATTTTTTTGTGCATATGCTTAATTAAGTGTATGATGCGACGGCTTACTATGCAGGTGGGGCATTGGGCGGTGCAGCAAATGTGCGGATCCACAACCCAAACATCTGTCGGTCCTTGCTGCATCAGTACAAGAACCAAGTACAACACACGTCGTGGAGTTTTCTTGCAAATGAAACTATCGTACCATTCGCCGTACAAATCATTGTGGGTCACTACTTATTGGAGATTGTTTATGAAGGAGGTTTTAAGGTGAAAAATGTGAATAATATTTGGAAATTGATTTTATCAGAAGGCTTCTCGTACTCAATTTATAACATAGTTTGAGAAAATAGAACAGCTCATTTGCTTTCCATCATCCTGCATTGCCGAGGACTTGCAGCAGATTCTAGATGTGTACCTCTTTCAAAGCAATCATGTCGTAAGGAATAGTACTTTTTTGTGGCATCGGGTCCTCAGCGATGTGTACAGTATTCGTAACGACACGGATTCTTATATTTTGATGTAAGCACACATATTGTATACAAATTAGTAAGGCTTTTATACTCTCACAATATATTACAAAGAATATAATGGTTATTTTCACTTTGTAAGACTATCGGACATTAAGTATGAATGCGAATGGATTTCGCATAATCTGTCTGTCCGTGCATTAAAAGACATTGAGTAAATTCTGGATCTGTTAGTATTACAAATACTCGAAAACATATCATTGTCATGTCCATGTCGTTATACCCCGTTCTATTCAAGAAAATAAAAAATATTTAATAACAAGTAAAGAAGGCTAAGTTCGGATGTAACCGAACATTTTATACTCTCGCAAAGTCAAATGGTATACTCGTTTGAGATTTCTTTGTGGATTGACTGATATTTTCGGTAGAAGGTCAACTATAGGCACTGGGGTCCACATATTTAGTACTTAGGGACTTGAACAGTTTTGGTTCGATTTAGACAATTTTTGGTCACAAGGTGGCATACTTTAAACGTATTATTCACGCAAAGTTTTACACCGATATAATCATTGTTGCTTGATTTGCATAGTGGAAAGTGAAAGAATTAGATGGAATTTAAAATGGTGTTATATGGGAAGTAGGCATGGTTGTAATCCGATTTCGCCCATTTTCGTATTATAACACAGAAATATGAGAGGAATGTTATGCACGGAATTTGGTTGAAATCGGTTAAGCAGATCCCAAGATATGGGTTTTCACCTAAAAGTGGGCAGTGCCACGCCCACTGATTAATTTTGAACGCGGTTCCTATAAACTCATCTCATACCATCCCAGTGATAAAATTTAATGTCTCTGGCGTGTTTGGTGCTTGATTTATCGCGCTTTTAGTAGTTTTTAACAGTACCGTTATATGGGGAGTGGGCGAAGTTGCCACCCGATTTCAACTATTTTCACACTGTAGGTAGAGGTTCTAAAAAAATTTGCTTCCAGTGAATTTAGTTACTATAGCATTAGCGGTTTAGGAGATATGCACACTAAACCTATTAGGGGCGGGACTTACGCCCACTTTAAAAAAAATTTTAACTGCAGATGCTCCTCCTTAATGTGATCCTGTGTACCAAATAATAGTCTTGTATCTTATTGCGGAGCTTAGTTATGGAAATTTATTTGTTTTTGATTAATGGCGTTTTGCGGGCGTGGCAGTGGTCCGATTACGCCCATCTGCAACACCAACCATCTCACGGTACCAAGAAACATGTCTACCAAGTTTCATAAAGATATCTCAATTTTTACTCAAGTTAGAGCTTGCACGGACGGACGGACAGACAGTCACCCGGATTTCAACTGGTCTCTTAATCCTGATCATTTATATATATATAACCCTATATCTAACTCGATTAGTTTTAGGTGATACAAACAACCGTTAGGTGAACAAAACTATTATACTCTGTAGCAACAGGTTGCGAGAGTATAAAAATGGAATATATGGGAACACAATGATGACACTTGATATAAAGTAGATGGAAAATTGTGTAAATATACAGTTTTGTATCATTAGAAGTACAATACTAGAAAAACAATCCTCTCATACTTCCGTTTATCCACGATATTAGTAATATGCTGATTTTCCTTCCTTTGGATTTGCTCATAAATCGATACATAAGTATATATTTACTTCAATAATTTAATCTTCAGTTTAATATAGCACAATCCGTCCAGACAAACTTATCTTACGAATTAAGCTACTTCTATTTAACTTTCTCTATAGTTCTTATTTAAAGATCGGTTTCGGCGGAGCAATGAAGATGCTTTGTTTATTTTTCTTCCATCCCTAATCGAGTTAGATATAATGTATAAATTATCTGGATGACGAGGCGAGTTGAAATCCGAGTGACTGTCCGTCCATCTGTCTGCAACTTGAGTAAAAATTGAGATATCATAATGAAACTTGGTACACGTATTCCTTGACAAAAAAGGAGAAGTTCGTAAATGGGTGTAATCAGACTACTGCCACTCTCACAAAACGCCATTAAACGAAAACCTATAAAGTGCCATATATAATAACTAAATTAAGACATAGAACTGTAATTTGTCAGAGGGGATCGCTGTAGCCTTATAAAAAGTTTAATGTACATTCCGTTCAAGCTAAAATAACAAAATTCGGAAATTCCCTTAAGCACCCCTACCGACATTGTAAAAATAAATGAAATCTAGTTACATCCCGCTCATTTCCCATATGAATACTACTTAAAGCGCTATAAGTCAATGACTAAATACGCCAAAGACATTAAATGTTACCGCCGAGAGGGTATGAAGGACTTTAAAGGAGCCGGGGTCAAAATTGGACGATGGGGGTGGTACCGCCCACTTTTAGGTGAAATCACATATCTCGAGACCCGTTCAGCCAATTTCAATTGGTATATAACATTCTTTTGATATTCCTGTATTGCCAATGCCAAAATGAGCGAAATCGGACTACAACCATAGTTCCCATATAACACAATTTTAAACTCCATTTGATTCTTTCACTTTCCAGTACACAAATCAAGCATCACTGAATGTATCGAGTCTTATTACCAAAAATTGTCCAAATCGAGCCGAAACTGATTAGACCCCTAGGTACCGCTACTAAAGCTGACCTTTTACAAAAAATCTGTGTCAATGTGTGAGATATATAATATAATTGAAATTCAGAGAAGATCATTTTTGATAATAGTATGCCTGTTTGCCTAAAATGGGTTGAATCGGATCAATACTTCCCTTAATATAAAGATTTTTGAGTTATCTTAATGAAATTGAGAAAGCGTGTTTTGCTCATAACAAGGTATCTTTGGTCTCAAGGTATCAAATCGGGTGAAAATTTTACCAAGCCACCATGTAACTAATATCAGGATTCTCGAACATGCGTCTGATAAAAATCGCCCCTCAACTTCCCTATACTACTTATAATGATTTTCGTTATTTTAACCAGTTATATTCCGAATATGTCGGTCAGTGAGTATTAACATTTTTATTATATAAATATAAAATTGCTTCCAAATATGTCGAGTATAGCTTTGCAATGTCTAAATTAATATCGATCTCTATCTCAAATATATATATGATTTTCGCCTTTCCAACTGACTTTACCCGCCTTTCCAACTGACTTGACCGTTCCGGTTGATCAAAATGTGATATTTGATTGAAATTAAGTGGATATGTTTTCTTAAAAGTTATATGATTTGACCCTGAATTAGAATAAAACTAGTATATACCTTGGTCTAAACATTACACATTTATATAATGAATTCCGATTCTCTGGTTAACGTTTTCCACATACGCTTATAATATCAAATTTAGCCACTTTGGTGGAGTTAATATCTCATTCATACATATGTACTTGTATATCTAAATTCAAGATGTTTTTTTTTAATATAAGTAGTTTACAAATTGCTCTAATTAATTTCACTGTGAATGTAAATAACTGAAGCAACAGTTCCTACTTCTAATTATTTAAATATATAAAGAAATCTCAATCGTGTATACCGTTTGACTTTGCGAGAGTATAAAATGTTCGGTTACACCCGAACTTAGCCTTTCCTTACTTGTCTTTATATTATGGTTATAAATTCGGTTTCTTCCATTATGCTACTATTTGAAATAGCTTGTTGGTTTCGGGTCCCTTATATGAGGGTTTTTAATACATTTTTAGAAATATTATTAATTTTGTTGGGTTCATCAGATTTTGCATTGGTTAACGGTCGTAATTCAAATAACAACTAATACGATCTAGGGAACTCAGTCAAAACTTAAGAAAAACATTACTATTTAAGAAAACCTACAATTACAAAAAAACAAAAAGTTTGTTTTGCTAGAAACTTATAAGACTCTAAGTTGGAGAAAGCGAAGAGATAAGAATCTAAAATTTCGGATAACATTATCAACCTATGTCTTAATAAAGAAATGACCCATAAAGTGGGATCCTTCAATAACCTATTCAATTAGAAAACCCAGTCTTGGTTTGAGGATTGACATTATAGAACGGTAAAGCTTAATTAGAACAAGGATATAGCCCTGTTACTCCCTATATATTTCTACAATTTGTAAAAACATATTAGACTGTTCGGTCCTACCCAAACTAATCCCTGTTCCTTTTGTATATTTATGCATTTATAAAGCACCTTTATAATTTCAGCACATTTGTATGCAGTTCTTTCTTCGTTTATGCCTTGTTCTTTGTTATGCGCAGCTACAACTCAATCATCAACTACTCCGACTCCAACACTGATGCGTTTGGAAATAATTTCGGGTTTGTGGTAGATTACAAAAACTCTCTTTTAAGAAATATGAAACGATTTACCCGTAAAACTACAACCAACACTGGAACTGTGGACATAAAATTCGGAGGTAAATTCATACACTATTTGCCCTTATTTAAGTAAGGCGTCGTAAGAATTTTGTTTATTTGGCCTTAACCAAGAATGGTAGAAGAGAAATTACGATACTTTCGTTGCGTTACTTTTTATTACATTTGCCGTTTATACTATTACATTTCATTGTTCCATCTTCCGCAGTAAGCATGCCGCAAATCTCGACCAAGCCACGCTCTTACAAATTGGACGAGATACTAAATGCTATTTCGCCCCATAATGTTCTATATAACACTTTCGTTGGTGATATAACACCGCAGACACTTATCTATGTAGCCTTTACGTTACTCATAATTTACGAATCCCTGGACACACAAATCAAAGCTGTTTCGAGCAACATTGAACCCAGGAATGGAAAGCAATCACCAACAGTTCCTGTGCTGCACTACGCCAGCTTTTTGATTGACATCTATTTCTTTGTAAAGTTAAGTCAATTGAGAAGGTTCTATGGGTGGAATGATACTCTTGGAAGTACAAATTTCTAATTGTATAGTTGAATTCCAGTTCATTTCACTTGTTGACCAATAAATACCTTGTTAAAACCGCCTTAATAAATTAAAATGCTCTCTTTTATTCAACAGTGGTTCAAAATTGGCTGCTGAATTTCTACAAAAATTTCCCAGTGGAAAGTATCAGGTCTCGCAGCAAATGTTTTTTGTTTTAAAGCTAACTCTGCAGAAGGCTCTTTCGTAAGTATTTTATATTTATTCTATAACTACAATTGGTATACTCAAATATAAAATCGGATTAGTTACACCCGACTTATAACTCAAAAATTACTGAATCGATTTTGATAACCGCTGATTCTAGGAAGATATCCAATTACATAGAAAATACTCAAATTGAAAAAACCTTTCGAACAAAGTCGTAATGCAATAAGGCCTTATGAAATTCCGAATCAATCTATCGAAGAATAACGAAAAATCGAGCACTAAAGACTTTGATGACGCCCTTTGAGTTTAAACGAATTCAATTCCCGATTCGTTTAACATTCACCATGTGAATAACATGTTAAATGTTATACCTTGAAGAGGGTATATTAACTTTGCCACGACGTTTGTAACACTCCAGAGGAAAAGAAAGACTCTATAAAGTATGTAGTATATATGGTAAATTCGTCAGCGTGACGAGCTGAGTCGATTTATTCATGTTCGTCTGTTCCTCTGTCTGTCCGTCTGTATATACACCAACTAGTCCCTCAAAAATTTTACACTCGTCCTTTTTTCTCCAAGAAGCTGCTCATTTGTCGGAACTGCCGACATCGAACAACAATAGCATATAGCTTCTATACAAACTGACCGATCAAACTCAAATTTTTGTATGGAAAACTTTTTTATTTGACAAGGAATCTTTATAAAATTTGGCATGGATTTTCACTGCAATCTCCGATAATATTATGGCATATAGATGCCAATCAAGCTGAGAAAAAATACTTTTATTTTGTTTAGTTAGTTTATTTATAATATTTAATTTAGTATTCCAAATATTTCACGAACTTACGGAAATCAGCATACAAATAATCGTGAGAGTTTAAATTGCAACCAATTGATACATAGTTGACTGGATTGGGTAGGTTTGACGTTTTGTAATTAGAAATATTGAAGACCACATTAAAATTATGTCAAATAATATTGAACAATTGAATTTACATAAAAGAAAAGAAATGTATTTAGCATTTATTAATTAGTAAGTAGTGTAAATTCACTTTATTTTCTACTGAATATACATTCACTAAATTAGTTATTATTAAAATTAGAAAAAATAATAATAATTGATTACTGATACTACATAATATGTTAACTTAAATACCCAAAAAATAGTAATATTTTTATTTGGCAGGCATTTATTTATGGTAAAATTTATTTAACAATTTAATTTAATTTTAACACATTCCATACATATGTATATACAATAGTTATATCCATATGTACATACATATACGTTAAAGCAAAGAACGTGATTTTACGTTCTTAGTTACGTTAACTAAATACCGTTAAGTGTTACGTTATTATTTTGTCACTAGATGTCACCATGCACAGTGGAGTGGTTGATGACTTCGTTAAGCTAAAAAAGAAAAACCTAAAGAATTTCTACGTTCTCCTTTGAATATTAAAGAACATTTCTTTTATCACGTATTTTTATTCATCCCAGAGTAACTCCATCATTTGCGTTTTGCACCTTCGCTGAGCATCTGCTAGATAAACATTTTTACAATAACATCGCCCTAGAAATGCCATCATTAGACTACAAAACATGCAACAAGAAATTAAGCAACGTTCTATATGTGGACACTTTCTATCCACTGGAGCAGCGGGTGAGAATTTTTATTTAAACTGATATTACGATTCCCTGGAAACTGAAAAAATCACAAAACTCATTTTCATGATAATTGTTTACAACTCATCCCTCCAGTGCATGCCTTGGACCTGGTTTCTTTCGTTGGAAATGCAGTTTTTTATTGTGGCTTCCTTGGTTCTCCTCCTCGCCGAGATCCACTCGACGTATGCTATAATAATTGGCGTGGCTACTTTTATTATATCCATATTAGCTTCGGTAGTATGGGAATCGGATCCCATCACCAACGCAGAATTCTCGATAGGGTATGATGCACGGCAAAAACATAATAGAACGAAGTTTTTAATAACCCAATCAAGCATTTTCTTCTACCTTTGCCACAGAACATTTATGCAAAAGGAACTAGCTGAATTCAATTTGGTCTTCGATAACATTTGCCTGCGCATTTCTCCGTATATAATGGGCATATGTGTTGGATACATTCTGCAGCGGACGCAATCCAGCTTGAAAATGAATTTCGTGGTGCTAGTTTGTGGTAATTATGCATGCATATTGTAGAATTTCTGCTCACACTCACCCACCCTCATACTCTCAAAATGACGTCCGAAAGGTTGGCTTATGTATTTGCTAATGGCGGGCTTATTTGTATTTGGCTACAAATACGGTTACGAGAAACTCCTGCCTAACCTGTCGTATGGACGCTGGTGCCACGCAACACTCTTCACCATTTCGCATGCTATGTGGTCTCTGATGCTGTTCTGGACAACTCTAACAGCTGAAAACTATCAGACTTGGAGACCGCTTAGTTTTCTGCTTGATGGGAAATTTTTATATGTTTTGGAACGACTGTCACCGGTTTGTCTACTTGTGGGTCCGATTGTAATTCGGCTGCTGGTTTTCACAGCTGACACGCCCATCTACAATTCTGTCGGACACACGGTGAGTTAGAAAATTCAATACCTTTATCACATTTAATAAAACAACACTTTTGCAGGTTTCAATTTTTGTGGGGTGCTTGCTGATGACATACTTGAGCGCGCTCTTTCTTCATGTTCTATTCGATGGACCTCTTTGTGCATTTCTACAGGAAGCAATTCTAAAATAGCAGAAAATTTTCGACAAACGTTAATTGCTAGATATATACACGTATAAGGACTAAGTGGTTGTAAAATTCGGGAAATTTTTTAAAAATATTTAAAGGGTGGGGCTAAGCACGGGCGAAATAGATTACAGACATTCATGCTATGAGCACCTAAAACAAATTTATGTACATATGTATATAAAAAATCTATAAGGCCACAGTCAGCAACATAATCCACTTTTTGGATTAGACAGTTTTCTTGGACAGTTTTCACTAAATTTTAGAAATAAATCTCTTAAAGATGACATTTCTATTGCCAGAGATAACCAATGTTAAGTGCTGCGAAATTATATTTTTATTAAGACAAATTGATTTGATACTACAATCACTATCAAGTTTAATAGGGTGTTTGGTAAACTGACAAATATGACGCTGGGCCTGAAAAGAAGTATAGATACCAGCATGCAACAAAAATTTACAGACTAAAATCGAACTTTTAAAACAAAACAAAAATACCAATTTTGTTGAAAGTTGATCCAGAAAAAAAAACAGAGTAACATCAAAGATTCAGTATTTTTGCCAAAAAATACCGTAGAATCAAAAAAACTTCAAATTTAAATTCTTCCTTAAATATAAATTAAACTAGACACATATAATACATCTGTTTTACAATTTTATGAAACAGGTATATTTCTAAATAGTCAGACAATAGACTTCTCGTAGAGCATCAACTTGAGAAAGAGAGTTAGCTAGTTGAGAGTTGAATTCAAGAGGGCATTGATATTTATCCCAAACTTACATTACATAGCTCATGACGATATGAAAGAAAAGAGGGGAAGGATTTGGTTCCTACCGTTATATTCAAACGAACATCTGTTTTCTTTAATTTTTTCCTACTTTGGTTTGAATACTCATGGGACAGAAAATTAACTAATCAAATAATTTTCTAAGGCTTATGTACAATAGCTCTATTTTTTTACTTTCATCTGACGAACAGATATTACCAAATGGTTGATTTTCATGTGATTCGTAATATTACCCATCGTTTGTTTGTAAGTCAGGTACAAAAACAAACTAACGGTGAGTGCACCTTCTGTTATCGTTTCGAATGCACGTTAATTTTGGCCTCCGAGGTGCTAAATGGACTTGCAGGAAAATAGGGAAACGAAGCTTTGACACTTTCACCGCAGCGTAATCGCAATCGCACCATATGTTTTAAACACATAAATACATATCTCGGTACATGAGTGCTTACATGCCAACACATTTGTTAGTACATTGGTTATACATACAGCTTTACCAGTTATTTGAATATCCACCTATTCATATGGTTCTCGCTGTGCCTCATACTATTGCGGGAACTGATACATTTTCATAAGAAGCTTTGTCTCTGAAATTTTGCAACAATTCCATACTCTTACTCTTTCATGCGGCACTTATGCTTCCCTGCCTACAATACCTTTATTTAAGCAAAATCGCCATTTTTATACTATCGCAACTTGTTGCTACAGAGTATAATAGTTTTGTTCACCTAACGGTTGTTTGTATTACCTACAACAAATTTTTTTAGCATCTCTATCGACGGTGTGAAAATGGAAAATGAAATCGGTGACCCCATATAACGGTACTGTTAAAAACTACTAAAAGCGCGTTAAATCAAGCACTAAACAAGCCAGAGACATTAAATTTTATCTCTGGGATGGTATAAGATGATTTTATAGGAACCACGTTCAAAATTAGATAATGGGCGTGACCGCCCAGATTTAGGTGAATACCCATATCTTGTTATCTGCTATTATGAACTTCAAATATTTTTAGTCGAAGTTTTATTTAGAGTTAAAATGAAGATTTGGCAGATAGTTAAACAGCTGAAAATTTTTAAGAGAAAAATCAAAAGAATTAAATTTAGTCATTGTTCACGAAAAGGTGAACAATTATTAAAATGGACATTAGTGTTGATTTATATTACAATCACTCAAATGTTAACACCAAAATCAGCCAAAGTTTTAATGACAATTTAACATTTTTTTTCCGATTCATTAGTTATTTCGTTTAAATGAAGGAATCATTTTGTTATTTACTTAATGAGTTGAAGGCACATCACCACAAACTATCTACTATATTTTTGGTTGCCACAAAACCTGCTTTTAAATATTATGAACACCATATTTGGATAAAACACAAATGACCGAAGAGGAGCTAAACGCTTCAAAACTATAATTTTGCTCAAAAAGTATATGCCTAGGAGAAATAGATTGTTATCTGCTATTATGAACTTCAAATATTTTTAGTCGAAGTTTTATTTAGAGTTAAAATGAAGATTTGGCAGATAGTTAAACAGTTGAAAATTTTTAAGAGAAAAATCAAAAGAATTAAATTTAGTCATTGTTCACGAAAAGGTGAACAATTATTAAAATGGACATTAGTGTTGATTTATATTACAATCACTCAAATGTTAACACCAAATCAGCCAAAGTTTTAATGACAATTTAACATTTTTTTTCCGATTCATTAGTTATTTCGTTTAAATGAAGGAATCATTTTGTTATTTACTTAATGAGTTGAAGGCACATCACCACAAACTATCTTACTATTTTGGTTGCACAAAACCTGCTTTTAAATATTATGAACACCATATTTGGATAAAACACAAATGACGAAGAGAGGCTAAACGCTTCAAAACTATAATTTTGCTCAAAAAGTATATGCCTAGGAGAAATAGATTGTTATCTGCTATTATGAACTTCAAATATTTTTAGTCGAAGTTTTATTTAGAGTTAAAATGAAGATTTGGCAGATAGTTAAACAGCTGAAAATTTTTAAGAGAAAAATCAAAAGAATTAAATTTAGTCATTGTTCACGAAAAGGTGAACAATTATTAAATGGACATTAGTGTTGATTTATATTACAATCACTCAAATGTTAACACCAAATCAGCCAAAGTTTTAATGACAATTTAACATTTTTTTTCCGATTCATTAGTTATTTCGTTTAAATGAAGGAATCATTTTGTTATTTACTTAATGAGTTGAAGGCACATCACCACAAACTATCTACTATATTTTTGGTTGCCACAAAACCTGCTTTTAAATATTATGAACACCATATTTGGATAAAACACAAATGACCGAAGAGGAGCTAAACGCTTCAAAACTATAATTTTGCTCAAAAGTATATGCCTAGGAAATAGATGTATCGACTATTTATGTTCGAAACACTTCACACGATCGCTTAGCCATATTTTTTTACAGTTTCCAAATTGTAGCTTGCTCGTCCAGTTTCGGATTTTGCTCCACGAGCTCAACAAATGTTTCTACTTTCTACGGTGGTTAACTAATTAATATAGTTTAAAATTGTAAATAAAATAGTATTAGTTTACCCATTTTCCATTTTCTATCAATTTTAAAACCAGTAAGCCCCTAGTACAGTTTTCAAGCCAACTGCATTTGGGTGAAGTTTTGAAATTTTGTATTATCGATATCAATATTTTTGGTAGATTTGATTGTTTGTCAAATAAAATTTTAAAATCTAAGAAAACAAAAATGTCTTGAACTCTACGGGTCAGATAAAATTTGCTTTTTCTGGTTACCACCACCACTACGAAGATGATCAGCACGGTATAGTATGTACTTAAGTAATTAGTTATTAGTTTAGATAGTGATCTTCGATATTTATTTAAGGAATTCAATGTGAACGAAGGGTAAAACTAGTGTTTAATAAACCTGAAAGAGAGACATTCAATATTTTTCTTTACTATCAAGAAAGATGGTTAAAGTAATGCCTGTTTTGAGGACTCTAGACAGACCTTACCCCTTAATTAGATTTTAGAACGCGTCTACCATAGTTGAAGTTGTAGTGTAATAAATAACCAAAGCGTATTGAATTGTACCAAATCTTGTAGGACTATATAACTTACAATACAAACAAATACGGCAATCAATTAAAATATTTTAAATAAAAGTACAGTTACAGTTCTTTTACAAGCAATTTTATTAATAGGTGGCCAGTTAAAAATATTCGATATTCCCGTTGACTACTAATATTACTTCTTCTTAACATATGCGAATATCACACTGTGCATACATAACACAAAGGTATGTACAAATATTGCTATGCATACATAATTTATACAAAGTAATTAAATAGTTATATCAATAAAATTTGTCGTCATATATAAATATGCCGACTGTTAGCTTGAATTTTTGCTGACCCTTTCTACTTACAATTTTATTCCCATTTTATTTCGACATTTAATTTGCATACCAATATATGTATTCACACACACTATGTGCAAACTTTTAAAGTAAGCATTCCATTTTAGCCTCTGCCTTTGAGTGTTTTAATGTTTTTAAGATAATAAAATGTTTCAAAAACAAAACACATGTCTGTGTTCACCAAATCCATAGAAACAATAACAAATTGTATATGCATACACACATACATAAGTTTTTATGTTTCTCTGCAACTCGGTCTTTCCCAGATAAAATCGAAAGGGAGTAATTTAGCTTATTGCACTGCTGGCCAGACCAAAATATTTTGGTTTATTTAACTTCATTTTTTTTACTTCATTCATCGCCAAATATTATTACATAACTGTAAGCGGTAGTAAAAAAAAAATTATTAAGGTAACACCGAAATGAGCTAACTTCCAAATAAATAAGTTAACACAAAAACACACAAACAGGCACACATGCGTAAGCGTCGTACATGCACAAAAGATGAACCCGCTAACATCCATTAAGAAAAAGTGAGATGACGCGGACGAATGCGCGTGCGCAGAGGCAAACGAAACTGAAAGTGGACAAATCAACAAAAGCTGCGCGACGCAGCCAACGGAGAGCTACGGCGGATCTATTGCCAGCATTACAGCAGTATCAACAAAAGCGGCCATCACATTTAAGCCAAAAGACGCAGACAATACACAAACCATACACAAACGCACACTTTCATACATACATATGCGCTTACAAGCATACATTCATAACACACACACATGGGCAGTTAAACCTATTTGCTCTAGAGCCACATAAAGCTGCAAAAGTTGTCGACATCGCTTATTTTACAATGAAATCCATTCGACAAATAACGGTTATGCAATATCTGCTGGTGACCTTTATGTATGCGACTCCTCTTCGTGTCCTCTTTTGGCGCTTTCTTAGCCTGCGCGAGCTTAGCTAATCGCACGGAGCAAGCGACTGAGTTAGATTTTCGCTTCTCTCTTCGATTTGACTTTTCCTGCCCCTCTCTTGACTTTTACTCGCTTTGAAATGCGGAGTACCGATATTTTCATTTATTCGAATTTTCATACTTTACTAAAAGTATGCATAACTTTCATTCGTTCAATATCAAACTGCCGATACCAATGACGATTCCCTTGCTTCGAAAGGCACGGATGCGAATTTCAAAGTAAATGGCGAAAGTGTAAGAAAGATTCATGAAACACAGGCTCTGATATGTACATATGCGTTTGTGTGTGTAAATGGCAAAAGTACATACTTGTTCATTTGATTTGAGGCAGGTGAAAATTTACGATTAAAACCGTTAATAAGTTCGGCACACTTTGCATACGTATTCACTTTTCGGGTGCGGTGTTGGAACATACATACATATGTACCATATGTAAATAGACACTTTAAAATTTGAGCATTAGGTCTGTAAGTGAGGAAGAGAGAGTGCAGCGTGTTTAACAAATTGTATGATTCGAAGACGGCCTATTTCACAATATAAAATTTTATTAATCCAAGAACTTAAAAATTATAATATCATATGTAAGTAAGGTTTATTCAAATTGTTTGCCTGTGATCACTGTAAAACATCCAAAGAGCTTTTCAGTAAACTAAATTACAAATTACATATATGTATATTAAGTTTGCCACGAAGTTTATATATACATAAATGATCAGCGTGATGAGCTGATTTGGTTTAGCTATGTCCGTCTGTATATATACGAACTAGTCCCTCCGTTTTGAAGCTACCGATCTGAAATTTTGCACCTGACCGATATCGGACCACGATAGCATATAGCTGCTATACAAACTGAACAATCGGAATGCGGGAAATGTAATCTCTGAAGAAATCGTTCATATCAGATCACATATCGATAGCATATAGTTGTCATACAAATTGAACGATCAGAATCAAGTTCTTGTAAGGAACCTTTGTATTTGTGAAAAGTATTAAGCTTCGGTGCAACCGAAGTTAACGCTTTGTTTTGTTGTTTTTAATGCCGTTCCGTTCTACTCCTATACCAAGAATATTCTATTTGTGTCTTTTAAATGCTCAGCAGTACACACGTTGTTACAAACAAAATGAAGTAAGTCAAGCTTTTTTCTGGAGAATTCGCGATTATAACCTCTTTTAATAACAATAAAACTGAATTATGCATTGATACATACATATATACAAGTATATACATAAAAATTTAGTGTCACGGTGTTTGTCCGGGATAAACACATACTGAACCTACAATATTTTAATAAAATTTAGCATACTGTGTGCAATTTGATCCAACTTAAAGAAAGGAAACCTACCTCTAGTCGACATTAATGATGCATATACGTATGGTGAATATAGGCCTTTTGCGACCTCTATTCGACGTCGTTAACCAAAAGTTATTGAGTCGATCCATAGGTGATTTTTATATTATCTGCTTTCTCTCTGGCGATTTTCAAGCATTGTTTCTTTAACTTTTTCGATGCTATCGTCAATAACAGAGTGGATGGACCTAAAAAAAATTATCCTAGTATAAACAGTAAAAAGACCGTTATATACCGTTATACCATATATGGTATGGGTACACCAATAATCATTTCATCCTTAAATACAGATAAATTACTGTTTTTAACAGACTGATGTCAACTCTACGCATATACTGTTTTCAATGTTAATCAGAATCTGCTATTTTTGTTTTGTTGATGGATGGCGTTATACTTGGCCAAGGTACAATAACTTAATCGGCATCCTTCCCAATCACTAAGCAAAAAGTAATACATACATGCCTACACGCATACCTACACAAATACCTGTTCATCCCAATGATTTATAACAATTAACAGCATGCGAAGAGTATGGGTACATACATATCCCGCAGAGTTCTATCCGGAAGCATAATTCAATACAAAACATACTAAGTAAGTCATTACAACAATTACAAATCTCATGATTACATAAAATTTTACGAACATATTATAAGAGAATATACATTTTGCATGTATAGATGTATCTACACGTAGCATATGTATGAACATAAATATGAAGAAGAAAATTGCAGCAAGTCTACAATGCAATGAACAATAATAAACCCAAAAAAGCAAAATTAAAAATTATATACATACTGCAATAGTTTAAGCTCTAGATAATTGTGTGCCGCCTATACTTAAATATATAGACTAAGCCATTAATAAACACACGCACACACATATATATACACAGAATGTAAATAGCCGTACAATTGGCTGTATTCACATGCTCAGCGACAGCTGTTAACAATAACAGACGCTGGCTTACGCTCAGCATCAGTCAAGCGCTGCACCGATGCCCACGGTTACAAAATAAGCAAATAAAAGCGAATTACGTGTTTATTGACCAACATAAACTTTTTATTTCCCGCATTGAAACGCCAGCTACGTGAAGCACAACAGCAGTTAGCCACCAATATACATACATACCAATATACGAGTGTTTTTTAACAGCAGCAAGGCGTAACAACAAAAGAAAAGCCGTGTATGCATTTTGTATCATCATCTTCATTGAATGCATTGAGGCTTTTAACTAAAGTCGGGAAGAGATTTCGACAGCCACGAGCGATACGAGCAGAAGCATGGACAGGCAGAGCAGATCGAGTGTACAAGTAACCAATTATTGTAGTTGTGAAGCTACAAGATTGAGGCCAACGCTTGCCTCGAACAATTGTTCGGAGTATTAGCCTGTCTGCTTGTCTCAAAAGAAGAAAAGCACTTTTCAGTTCACTTTCGATGGTCAATCAGTCAAGACACGTTCAGCTCGTGACGTCCTTGCTAAAAGCAATTTGTATTAATAACAAACCTATGTGATCTTGCAGAGAGTGAGAGCACGGCTTGAAGAAGGTTCTCAAAACAAACAATAATCGCTCACTAAAATCGGCAGCTCGTTACCAAAAAGTTTCGCGAGAGCGCCGCGCACGCTCACTATTCCAAAAGAAACTTAAACGAACCTTCATTTCGGCTAGCTTCGTCCAACGCTGTTAATGTATTTTTACAACAAGCCGCGCCGCGCAACCGCAATTCGAATTTGTGCTATCGCACAAATCGGTCGACACTGCTTGCGTACGTTACACACTCGCCCACTTACTGGGTAAGGAAACAAGTCACGGCATACAAAAAACGAATTTTAGCTCGCTGATCGTTGAATAACACACAGAAATACCGCAATAGTGCACGGTGCCCGTAAATAAGGAAAGTAAAAGTGTTCCTCCTCTGGTTGTTTGTTCATTTATGGAGGTCCGAAGTTACGAAACACTTGTAGAAATATTCATAGCACAAGTATAACGGCCAAAATTGGAAAGTAAAAGAGAATAACAGAAGCGTGAATGAATTGTTAACTTGGTCAGTTTTTCGAATTCGTTAGTAACGGTTAATTTACGTCCTGCAGTTTCCTTCAAACAATTTGTATAATTTTGGGTCATACAGTTAACATTTGATTATATAAAAAAAAAATAAATAAAGATACGAGTTGAAGTGAAAACTGTTAAAAAAATGTCAACTAGCCAGTGGGTGCTAATTGGTATTTGCCCCATATTTTTTGAAAATGCACTAAGTCAAAAATAACAACAACTCACGAATAAAAATCCAAACGAAGTGTGTATCAAAAACCGAAGAAAATTTGTAAATACATATATATATTTACTTTTCCATAAGTGTATGCAAGTTATTCTACATTTTGTCCACAATGTACCGTCCTCTGGTGCCTATATCGGTGAATGCAAACATTGGCTTTTATCTCGCCATTTTAGTGACTTTATTGAATGTGTCGGAATATGGCGCCGCGATCAGTAATGGCGATCTGCCCAAAACCACTAACACTTCGTTGGCAGCAATGATGTCCAGCCATAGCGCCATCAATCTTCAGCTGCCCGAGTCGAAAGCTGATGAAATGGTGACGAACAAAGTGACGGCATCACAGTGGAACCCGCGAACCTCAGTACGACTAAGAGATGTGCTGAGCATTTTCGATATATCCAGCGTGTCGGAGCATTGGGGCAACATCCAGAAGTCCATTAGTAGCAATTGCTCACAGGATTTGGAGCTTTACATGCTCGGATTGAATGCAGCTAATATATGGGCAGTGAAAAGTGAGTAAAGTGAATTAATATAATATATGAGTTGCGGGTCTTTCAATAAGACCCTCCAAGTGTATACCAACTTACCTACCAAAGTGCATATGCGCATGTGTCTGTAAGTTGCATCTGTGATTTGAAGAAACTTATGAAAACAGGTACGCACCGGTATCTTTACACATATAGGTAGATGCGTATGTAGCTGTACTGATACTTAGGATGTGTTATACTGAATGCCAACCAACTGTGTGTGGTAATACAAGGAAAACACAGAGAATACGCAATCTTCGGTTTGCCCCATTAAAAAAGTTGCTTCAGCCAACAGCAATACCCGCTTGGCATTTTGCCACTATCTTTTTGTAATAACAACAAAAACAAAGTCGTAATAAAAATCAAAGCAAAGAGCTCCAAATTTGTCAGAGTTTTCAATTCCATAAAAAAATTTACTCAGATGATTTACTAAACGATACATATATTTATAAACCGAACTAGCAAGGCGAAATGGGTTGATTTTGTAAAAAGAAAAATATAATTTTAGAGTTCGCTTCATGTTTCCCGACCAAAAACTTAAATATTTTGACACAAATTGAAGTAAAAGTAAAACTCAATTTAGTAAAGTATTTCGTGAAGGGTGAGATTAAAACAATTGCTACTCCTATAAAGTATTGTTATTCAAGATAATTGATTTGTGATAATTTAGTAATGTTACATGACTTTTAAAAAAATTAGGGTGACGATGCTAAATTTTGTATCAAATATCTATGTTTTCATATTATATTATTTAAAGATTATAAAATTACTTTTCTATATTTTATTAATATGTCTTTGGTTTACATTTATCAAACACCCGAACTATCTGATTCAAATCTATCTATCTATCTATCTCTATATAAAACGTATATTTAAATTCAAACAAAACATTTAACTTTCATTTAAAATTTTCAAATATATAAATGAAAAGCACTAAAAATTATTATTTAGAAATAAATATCAATTACTTAAATAATCTAATGTTGTGAAAAATCGGAATTAAACTATACAAATAAAATAATGGATTACTTACACCATTTACAACTTAAGAAACACATGGCCTTTAATTTCGAGACATAATTCGAGACAGCACCGAATATCAGATTACAAATTTCAGAATTTTAAATTGAAATAGAAAGAAATCCAAAAAAATCCGACTTGTCCAGTTACAAATATGTTTATTGAATATTATTCCACAAATATGGCATTACATGTATATATGTTCGCCATGGTCTCAAAGATATAACACATACCCATACTTTCTTTTTTTGAATCGGCGAAGCGATTTCGATTCATTCATTAAAAAGTAATGTATTCAAGTAACATAAAAGAATTAAAAACACATCTCATATCTTATTCGTATTAAGTAGTAATATATTGAATCAATTCAAGCAACATAGAAAAGTGGAAAATACATCTTCATTTAACATATTTTGAGTTCTATTTTATATAAGCTCAAGGTCATGTGGAAAATTCACTTATTAAACGCATCTACTCCTTCAGTATGAAGCGCACAGTTACAGCAGCAATGCTTTTTTCTTTAGCATTGCATAAGTGCTTTAGTTTCCACACCAACTATCTACCTACCTACCACACACACACATAACAGATTTATTTAACATTACTGAATACCTAAAGTAGTAAACTCTGTGTGATTATGCAATTAATTAGGGCTCGTCCGTCCATTTGACTTAATGGACAAATATCTGTATGTCTTTAATTATATACTCTTACTGCTAACGTGACCTGCATAGCTGCACACATTGGTAACATATACGTAGGCATACATAGATTAGAGACTTTTGTACCATAACACAGTTTTCGAGCTTTGCTACTACATTTTGCCACTTTTTGCTGACCGCACCGACCGTGCACCAGCTCGTCCCCTCAGCGCAAATCGAAAGCAAATTTCCAGTTTGGGTATTTGGTTTATTACACTCTTAATTGTTTGTCGCCGTCAAAGTGTGTCAAAAGATACAAGTTTTGAATTGTTTTCTTTTCTTCACTCATTTCTTTATTTTTTACAAAACATATGTATGGTATATGATTATCAATGAGACTTCGCCGATTTAGATGCCAATTGTAAATGGGGCTCCAGTCCTACAGTAGTATTCTGGCTGCAAATGCTCAATTTCCGAGCAATCAAGGAGGTGTTCGGCGCCAATGACAAGATCAATCGTTAACTACAGTTACACACTCAACCAGTGTAAACACAAACACGAATCGTATACGAAGTAAACTACCGGAAGAAGAAGAATGAAAACAAAAATGGTGCAATATCAAGTTTTTAATGTTAACTTACGAGCTGGTCTAGAGATAGGCTCGAGACGAGTGACTGCAAGCTTACATACAAATACAACATATTATATGTGCCCACGTTGCTGTATGCTAGGGAACTACCATACTTATTCACTTTTTGAAGGTCGGTGAATTATTTCATGCATCAGCCATATTGCTAAGCTTCTGATTAAAAAATTAAAACATATGACTACTTAATAAATACCGAAAAGTTGCAAGAGCTTTACTACACACATATGTATTATATTTCCAGACATTTATTTTCAAGCACATAAGAAGTATGCATACACACACACCTACATATGTATATGTACATACAACATGCTCAAAACGTATCAATTTTGAAGGTAACGCTAGATAAAAAGGTTAAATGCAGCCATTGAATTGTCGGCATATGCGGCTCTCCGGTGTGACTATCTGGTTGATCGAAGAGTTCGTTTATGCATTAAAGAAGGCCGATTTTATGAGCAAAATAATAAAGTTCATATATATATGTATATAATAATTGTAATTTTGAATAATATTTGGAGCCAAGGTTACACTGGCGGAAAGCTTACGAAAATTATTGCTAATAATTACTTCATGTTTATATATTGTAGTATTTACAAACTCTAGTCGTTTTTAGGTAAGATGAACGTAAAAGTGACAGCGGATATGTAAAATCTTACTTATGTAATTTTTTTTAAATTTTTTTTCTTATATTGTCTCAAGTTTCTTAAATAAAACTAGGTATGTCGGATTAGTAACATTAGTAATGACTTAAGAACGACTGGGCCGATGATCTCTGATTTGTTAAATTTGTCTCCTTCTCGATTAGCTATTAAAATGTCTGTAAGTCCTACTCAATAAAATTATCTAGAAATATATACAAACACAAATATTATATCTAAGAAAAATTTACAGCAATGGTCAAATCCCTTGATCTCTTATATACCAGATAATTCGAGTTATTAGCAATCCTATGTCCTATGAAATTTACACTACAGAATGTATGATATGAAAAATTCTTTGAACACTCCAATCAATCCACTAATTCAAAACGAGACATCACACAAAAAGAGCCCTGTGCTATTAGGGCCCGAGCAAAGTCGGCTTTTCAAACACGATGGTAAAGAGCAGCCGTTCACATTGCTCGATTAGAAATTTGAAATCTTTTGGCTTAGCACACAGATCAGCAACGAGACAACTTTAACGCTCAAGAAGAAATTCTAGAAGTGTTGATTTGAATCGAATTGCACTTATTCTTCCGTTGGTATTACTTCAATGGAATTACTTATTCACTGTCTGTTTGGGGTAGAAAGTTGACCGAGTCAGCTAGCTTTTTTAATTAAGACAAGTCCTTTTTAGGATGTATATATTGTAATGGATAGTTTTTACTGACGGTCATTTAAAATTGATATGTTGCATGATGGAGGTTTTCAAATTGGTGTTTCAATGCGGCCAGAAAAGTTGATCCCCAGAGCGCATGTTTCATTACATACACCGGTAAAACACGAGTGTAATCTGTCTTCAAAAGCCTTTTTATGACATCTCTCAGCTGTTGGGACGTAAGACGTTAGACGTAAAACTGGTATATTCCTTCCTCCATTTATCGGATAAAGTCAAAGAATATATTATATAAGAGAGCCAACAAAAGTAAATAATTTTAAGATTACAGAAGTGGCAATTTTTAGAGCCATCCATTTTTAAAGATCTGTGATTAAGTTATAAAGTATTGTTAAACACAAATATAACAGGGGTATTCAGACCGAACATGTTTATCCGGTAACTCGTTAGTTAATACTCCGTTAAATCACTTTACTGTGAATATACTTTTTCCTTTATCTTAGTATTGTGGTAAATTTTGTTCCAAAACAATTAATTAAATTTTATTAAATACTTATTTTCGTATATGTAGCTCATTTTTTGTTTATATGCCATTTTGAGGACACTCTCTTAGATTTTAGTATGAAAATTGTGAATTCGGTGAAGCCTTCTAACTAAAGTTCCAATTAGTGTAGTTTACACATACATATATAAACCTAATTACTTCAAAAATCATTAAACTCTTCTTTGACCAAGCAGTAATAAATAATAGCTCATTATACCCTTACGCGCTGAATATCTATACAAACCTGCGTCTATTCATACCGTTAATGAAAATGTTAAGTAATAATCAACAATCAAGGAGATGAGTTTCAAAAATTAATTTATGACAAGTATTATTAGCAGCTGGCACCCGCTTAAATTCAAGAGATACATTTGTCATTTTCCACGATGAAATAGCAATAAATTTAACTTTTTATGAACAATTCGTATATAAATAAAAAAGTACTCTCAAAAATATTTTGTCACATGCTATTTTCAAATGAAATTTTTGATTAAAGTCATTATAATTGACGTGAACAAATAAATATTTTTTGCGATTTTCAAAGGATATCGCGGCGAAAATTATCATAATTTACCACAAATTGGCATTTTAGCAGCATAGTATTGCTTACATGTTTACAAATATAGGTAGGTTCATGAATATACATGAGATATTTTGAAAACATAAACAACATTTTGGTAAATAAAATAGCAAATGAATAATAACAAGTAAGGAAGGGCTAAGTTTGGGTGTTACCGAACATTTTACAACTTGAAAGGAACAAAAGCGGAGGAACATCTTCATGTTTTGCAAAAATTTATATCAAACTAAGGAAAGT